CTCCAAGAAACTCAAAAAAATAACTTATATATTTACTTGAAAAAGCCACCGTGATTGCCGGAACGCAAACAGTAGGCACTATTAGCATATGAGGTTTCATTTGCAACTAGAAAAACATGGAGGATTATAAAGGGTCATGCGATAGCGAATCCAAAGACCCGCCGTTCTTTTGCTCTCCTAAAGAGTTTTTAGTTTTAAGTCACACCGGGCTGGAACTATTTTTATTGAACAACTAAATGTTTGTGTTTCATAAGTGGGTAGTATCAAAAAGAATAAAATACGAAACAAATTTGGTATTTAGTTTTACACCCTATGTCAATGAGTAATGGCAAAAATTTTCAAAGTATTTTGAGTTTTATATTTTTAGGACGTTTCACGATATACCCAAAACGTATGGATTCCTTGTTCCAACGTCGGCTGTAGATTGTTCAAGTACGTTGTGAGAAAATAGATGTCATGTTCCATTTTTTACTCAATTCGATACTCTTCAGTCTACATTATTCATGTTCACTGGAAAATAAATACGAACTTTTAAAAAACATACCGATTGTTTTCATCTACACTGAAAAAGCTTTCAGGATGTAAGCACAAAGTTTGGAGAATCTGATTTTTCCTGGTTACTAACTTTGGCGCCCTTACCCCCATTTTCAAACTTGTGACCGTACAATAATCCATTACAAGCTCTGTTAGAATCAGTATAGATGTTACCGAGATTGCACAGTGTCAAGGAAACCAGAACGACAGGTGGATTATCGCCATTGGGTATGTACATTATTTAGGCAGGCTTTATTATTTTCTCAACAATGCCAAAATTGTTATTGGTTCTAAGAGAGAGAGAGACTTATCGGTAAAATATCTGTATTCACCTTTCGCGGTGTGAGGTTGAGAGCTTGTTTATGCACTACAAGTTAATTACCTCAAGTTAGCGTTTAAACACAATGTGCTAACAATATGAAAAGACAAGCAGCATTATGGTTGCTACGGTTTATAAATACAAAATGTCAATAAATATTTCATATAGTTTCATTCTATGCATAATAATACAAACTTTAGACGCAAAAAACGAATTATGTCACACTTTAGGGAGATTAACTTTGCGTTATGCTGTCGAAATATAAAAATAAAAACTATGCAAAAAATGTGTACGTTGTTGACGACGTAAGCATCTACGCTCAACAGCAACTTGATAAATACAAAAACAGTGGAAAAGCTCACTTAATTTTATAAACATTCTCTCCGGCTAGAAGAGGTACCTAATTTGACCGCGTATCGAAAACTTAAGCGTTCTATCACAAACAAGATTTCAGATGTATTTCCTTATTGTCGGTTAATAATTTACACATCTAACATATATGGTTTCAGAAATTGTCTGCTATGATCCGACATAGTGTTTCTGATATTTTATCAAAGTAATATAAAAAGTTATAAGCAACCATACGTATACCGCTGGTTTCCTGTTTGCTTACATTATTTATGGCGTGCGAAAAACTGTTTGATCGCATTAAAGTACACATAATGTGAAACAGTTATTTACCCAACAAGTGCGGAAAATACACTCTCCGCAAGTATTAGGTATAAGATATTTTCTAACAGCGCAGCGCGAGAAGATAAAGCATATATTTTAAACAATTAGAATTCTCTTGAAAACTATACAAGATACAATGCTGAAACTTCAAATAAAGTAATATTGACTAATACCGAGCACTGACTATTTTTTCAGACAGTCAGTTCGCTACATTTGGTTGACTACTGTTTTTTCGTTTTTTCGAGTTGATTTTCCAACATTTTGAACTCTCAGTCGTTTTACTCGTACGAGATTTCGAAAACAGACGTATACTATGTTAATACTTTTAGAAAGAATGTCCAAGGAATTATATTTCCTCGTAAAGAAACTGGATTACGTAACCTACCTTATTTGACAAAGTTATGCAGTCAGTAATGCAGCCATTCAGCACATGCTACATACTAACTAGTTCCAGACAATTTGAAACATAACTTTCTTCAGTTTGCTTGCTAACTTTATAAACAGTTTAGCGCATTTCAGTATGAAATATTTTTCTTATAAACTTTAAGGCCCATCTGTGACCATGTAAAGATTTCAGCTCTGAATATTTACCTATACAGGGTTATCCAAATTAAGTGTCCACCATTAGTAACTTTGTTATTAGTGAAAATACAAAGTTGTTTGAATTAGCAAACTAGTAGCATTTTTAACGCTGGTAAAAATGAGAAATAAAAAAAACAATTGAGAGTCGTTATTTTGATTTTTTTCAGTAAAGTAACATTTTTTAAATGGAAACCCCTGTATATTATATTTTTTTCTGTTAAAGCATCAAATTTTAAACAAAAAAGTTCATAATGACTTTTCCGCTAAAGTCAAAAATAAAGTCAAAATAACGATAAATATTTTTAATTATTTGCAGTATTATAATATTAAGACGGCTATGAAAACAACATGGCGTTCGCGATTTGACAGCATTAAGATAAGCGACAAATTGTTAAACTGGACATACTCGCAACTAGAAGGCTTTGGAAAACAATGATAAAATCAAATAATGTCAAACATTAGTGTAAATACTTGTTTATAAGCTTTATTGTGTCATTAATTTAAAGAAAAATGTTCTCCCATGAAGAAAAGTGTGATATGTTAGAATGCTATTTAGTGTGCAGAAAATCCTCCTTGAGAGCAAGAGAATACTACAGTGAATTATATCCCGCTCGCATTCAACCGTATGAACGATATTTTCTGAGACTTTATCGAAAATTTAGGGGCATCGAAAATGTTTTTGCTAAAACAAGGGCAAAAAAAGAATTCATAATAAGCGAGGCCACGGAAATTGCAGTTATTGGATATTTTGAAGCTTATCGTGAGAATTCAATAGCAGATATTCTCAAGGACTCTAATTTCAGTTATGGTACTGTTCAAAGGATTTTAAAAAAATACAAATTTATTCCGTATAAGTACCGACCAGTTCAAACGCTTTTGGCAGGGGATCCAGAGAGAAGACTTGTTTTTTGCCATTGGTATCTTAGCTTCTGTCGCCAAAATGTAAATAACTTTCGTTACCTTTTATGGACAGATGAATCAAATTTTTCAAATTCTGGAATGTTTAATAGAAAAAACCACCATTATTGGTCAAGAGAAAATCTTTTGTTAGTACATCCAAGAGGCCCACAAGTCCGTTTCAGTTTCAACGTTTGGTGCGGTATAATTGGTTAAAAAATTGTTGGCCCGTTATTTTATGAGGGAACCCTAACTGGTGAAAGATATGTGGAATTTATGTCAGAAATTCTGACTAATTTCTTAGATGAATTGGATCTTATAAGTAGACATCATCTGCATTTTCAGCAAGATGGCGCACCTGCCCACAACTCCAGAGGTACTTATCATTTTCTAAGTACTACTTTTAATGATCAGTGGATAGGAACAAATGGCCCAATACAGTGGCCTCCCAGATCATCAGATCTAAACCCACTTGATTACTTCTTGTGGGGTTACTTAAAGAACCAAATTTACAAGCGAAGGTACGATAACCTTGACGCGTTAAAGACTGCAGTTAGGGAAAGGATAACCCAGATAGATGGTAGGACCATACTTAAGACAGTTCGAGCAGTTGAAAAACGTGCCCAAAAATGTATTGAAGAACAAGGTGGTGTTTTCGAGCATCTTCTTTAAAAAAAATTGTTATTGTATTTTGTAAGATTATAAGTTGATGTTGAAAATAAAGTTTGTCGATACAATTTAATTGTTTCAGATTGGAGGCCTTAACTTCAACAATTTGTAACCTAGGAGAAAAGTTATTGTAAGTTTTTTTGTTTAAAATTTGATGCTTTAACAGAAAAAAATATAATATACAGGGGTTTCCATTTAAAAAAATGTTATTTTACTGAAAAAAATCAAAATAACGACTCTCAATTGTTTTTTTTTATTTCTCATTTTTACCAGCGTTAAAAATGCTACTAGTTTGCTAATTCAAACAACTTTGTATTTTCACTAATAACAAAGTTACTAATGGTGGACACTTAATTTGGATAACCCTGTATACAAAGAAATCCTGAGAACAATCTTAACTACCCACTTGAACAACTTGCATCAATAAAACCAGACTTTACGATTATCTCGCAAACCAGAGCTATTTCCGTCTAGTGTGATTAGACTAAATTTTTTTAATCAAATATAATTACAAATTTATATTGTTAGCCTCAAAATAACTTCCTTCTGAACCCACGCAGCACTGGAGACGGCTCTTTTACTCCTCGTAGCACCGCTGGAATTCCGATACTGGAATAGCCTTCAGCTGGTCGGTTACAGCCGTTTTGGACTGTGCCAAAATGAGTTCCCTTGAGGTGATTTTTCAACCACACGGATAAAGTGACCGAGGAGCCATAGGAATCGTCTTACTGGCCAAAAACTCGTTTATTGTGATTGCCCTGTGACAAGGAGCATTATCGGGATGGAACATCCAGTTGTTCTTGATCTGATAAGCGGTGGTGTGAGTCAAATTTGACTCTCCCCCGATCATTCTGTCTATCAACCGATGATCTGAACGCACAAGATCCAGGATTCTGTAAATATTTTCATCGGTTCTTGAAGATGAAGGCCCTCCGCTTTGTAATTCATCTTCAATCGGCTCTTCATACTGAAAATTCCTTAAATCACGGAAAACATGGGCTCTTGACAAAACATTATCTCCGTAGGTCTGCTGAAGCTTAGCAATGGCTTTCGATGCTTGAAATTGATGTCACTCATTTTTAGAACACAATAGAAAAAACTGTTCCACAAAAAAAGTCGCTACGAACAACAAAATCACTCGAGCGAGTTCAAACTTGTACTGAAGGCGCATCACGTTCCGTTATCTCCTCTCTAAGCATGACGCATCCAGTGTTGCTAGATGGAACGATACGTTGCGAGTCTCGTCACTTAATTTACAGTCCTCGTATGGTCCTAGTAGATACATTGTTATGGACGAATACGTGTAAAGTCTAACGATGCCTGACAGGACCTATGAGAGCGAAAAGAGGCGCCAGAAGTGCAAGAAGAGTATCAACTGTCGCTTTGCCTGAAGAATGCACAAGTCAACGAAATTTTGCTGTTCATTGCATGGTCTTCCTGACGGCGAGAAAGATGGATCCTCGCGTTGGTACTTTGCTGGTATCTCTGGAAAACGGTGTCGTCCAAGTGTGGAGCCATCATATTAGTGGCGGCTTCATCACGTCGTTTTCGGCAATTCACAAGGCTGGAGATTACGTCTTATCCATGGCCTCTGATGCGAGTAATGAGTTTCTTTTCGTAGGTAAGCTAAGACACCCTTTAACTAAGACTATTTATATCTAATTATACAAGGTGTTGCAGAAAGACGAATTAATATTTCTGGGGTAGAAATAACAAATAAAGTTCCTATATTCAAAGTTGTGACATTTTAACATCCTGTAAAATTCGTCAAAAGTAGTTCATATACCAAAAAACACCTACATAACAGGTGTATAATAAGAGAGTTAGCTTACATAATTGAAAATTGTTTTAAAAAATCATTATCAAGTTAAACGAATACCGTGTTTTCAAAAACTGTTCAAAATTGTCGCCATTTGTTTGGCTAACGCAAAATCTTGCTCGGCGAATTGACGACTCTTTACAAGCTTCAAAAATAAAGTCCTGGTGTCCACGAATTAAATCACAAGCATTTTCAGTGCACTGTTGAAGTCCTTCCAGAGTATTTACTGCTCCATCATGACACACCATCTCTGTCAAATAGCTACACAGAAAATCGCTAGGCGCTAAATGCGGAGAGCATGCAGGCCAAGAAATGGGTTTATTGCACCCTGTCCATCTATTCGGAGACTCATTAGAGTATAAATATTACTGAACTTCTCGTCTAAAATGTGGTGGAGCCCCATCATGTAGGAACCACAAATTCTGTCTCAAATTTAGAGGAACATTTTCTAATAATTGTGCCTGATAGTGGCAAAGAAAGCTAAATAAATTTCGGTCAGCCGAGGTGGAAACAAGTAGGTTTCAATAAGCATGCCGTTTACCATACCAGTCCAAGTATTTAATGAAAATATATGTTGAAAATGAGTCCTTTTTACAGCATGCGGATTTTCTGCTGCCCAAACAAGATTGTTGTGGAAATTGTACACTCTATTTCCTGTGAATGTGGGCCGGTCTTTATACAAAGTCTATTTCATAAAATATTCATTTTTGCCGAACTGTTCTAAAAGCCACTGAGAAAATGCAACTCCTTTAGGATGATCTCCAGCTTCTAACGCTTGCATCCGTTGATAGTGCTGAGGACACTAATGTTCTTGTCGTATTGTCTTCCACACTATACTTTGAGAAACCTCAACTTGAGCTACTATGGCTCTAGTACTATTGTTGGGTCTTCGACCACTTCTAAAATGTCTTCCTCAATTTGCAACATTTCAGGTTGAACAGGTCTTCCAGCGTGACCTTCTCGTTGTTCTTTTAAATAACTCGTGTCACAAAGTCTAATAACTAAATTTACAAACATCCGTGAGGCCGGATGACTTCTTAGAGGAAACATTTCCGCATACAACCTGCATGCTGCGGCAGCATCTTTTTGGCACTCTCCGTATTATTATAAGCCAGGCATATTATTCAGTCAATGTTGTAATGAGGTGCCATTTCTTTCTTCACATGCCATGTAGTGTTTCCAGTGTCAATCTTCACGGTGTTTTCAGAATAGGGAAGGCTAAACCTTTTCATAAGAATAGGATTTTACCTTGAATATTCAAACCTAAAATTCATCAAGAGACAAAATTTATGGACAATAAAGCTTCATCATCTTTTATCTCGGCAGGGGACCATTTTTGGACCCATATTTATAGAAACCTTATTTCCAATTTTTAAATAACTTTCTACCCTATAAATATTGGCATATCTTTTTGAAACACCCTGTATATAGCTACTCTTTGCAATGACTATGCAATATAAGTATCCTAGTTGAGTTTTGAGACGAAAACTGAGTCCATGGATTTAACAACGAGAAATCACACCTAAGTGCCGTATGTTTTTTATATTCTGCAAGCTTTTATCAAAAATCGGTAGTTATAGTTGTCGTCACCGTTCTTGGCGGGTCAAAATGAGACTACCAGTAACCCGTTACATCTCCATCTCCCTCATACATACACATTCAACCTATCCCTGTGTGTGAACGTTTGTTTCGTAAGCTTAAAGACATACGTTCTTTAGTTGTGTGTCTCCGTCTCGAAAACTTTGTCGTTACGTATGAGTGCCCTTCAATCACATTTGTCAGAGTAACAACTTACTTGACATTGGCGTGCAATCTTCAATATCAAATTGTGTAATGCCCGGAAATACGATCAATGGAGAAGGCCGACAGCTTGTGTTAAATTTATTTCCAGGAAGAGTATGAAAACAGCGGTCCCCTGTTACCTACTTCATGCGTATTGGAAAGAGTAGCAGATGCGCTTAAGATTAGTATGGGCAGTGCTCCACCCATGGTACGGAGACTCGATCTGTTTACTTATTTCATATGGCGTTGATGATGCAACCGCCAAGAACGGTGACTACAACTATACTAGCGCAGAAACTATCCACGGGCAATGCAAGTAGCTGGAAACCTCGCCTCAAGGATACCTTAGAACACAACTCCAGGAGCTACATAGCAGGGGAGTTTGTTTTTTTGAAAACCACGATAATTATTACTATTCGTCAGTTTTCACCGGACGGGCCCTAGAACACGGCTTTAGGGTTTTCAAACCAGGAGAGACTTATATTCGAGGCAAAATATGGTACAAAACTTCTGTCATAGGTACAACTGTTGGGTACATCAAAACCTGGCTGCTAAAGAACTACGTTTGTTTGCCAGAAGATGTAGAACACCTTTGTATGCCCAAATATAGACTAATGTTTCCATTTCTATGGGGATCCAGATTTATGGGAAGAGCTATGAGACTAGCATTGACTCAAGAAAAACCGATGTTAATGAACAGTTACAGAGGACACTTCATGCCGATCTCAGGTTTGACTTACATAAACGAGAATAAAATCCTGATAAGGTATGCTTAATACAGTAAGTTTTTTCACGTTCATGCAATTTGAAAAGTTGTAACCAGGAAACATGAGAGACGATAAAAAATCCATAGAAGTGACATATTCAGATAACAGTTCATTTTATGAACTTTGTTATCAAGGGAAACACTGATGTCCTACCCTACCTTTTGTGACACAGACAGCTTCAACTTCAGTACCCCGCATATACTGAATAAGTGGGCCATTCGGAAATAATAGACTATATTTAGGCATTGCGCAAATACGACGTTTCCCTACTTTGAGTTTTCTTTAATGTTTATTAGCTTCTACAGAAACTTAAATATTCGAAGCCAAAAAAAGAGTATTATTTGCCAAACGCTTATTATTGGCAGCATTCCCAATATCTTACTTACATTTCTCGTTTCAACTAGGCCACCAAGACAACTCATCACTCGCTATTAGAATAGATACAGTGCTTTTCAAAAATGTCCACCTACTTATTTTTTGAACCGAATGAACAAGCTGGAGTTCCGAGTAATGAAATTGCAGCATATAAGTAAAATTAGTAGGCGAAAATTTCAAGATGGGAGCCAAGTGAAATTTTGGAATATTTTTATTTCATGAGAAAGTACATTGAGTGGGCATCGCAACAACCAATAATCAAAAAGCTATTGTATGCTATATCAGTCTTCACTTCTAAGAGTCTATTGAAATACGGAATAAAATATGAAACATTCCGATTAACAAAATGTCAAAATCTGTCAAATTTCTATTACCGAAACCTTCCATACTTTATATTTAGTTAGATTGATTCTTCCTAATGACAAATATTGATGTAATGTTCTATAACCTTTTGATGATTAGTTGTCGAGTTATAAGCGATTCAACATACAAAAACTTTCAACTTTGAGCATGTTTGTCATTTTACCTGCCACTCTTAAAGATGATTTTATATTTTAGAGTTATGAAGGCGTCACAAGACCCCCACTCCATTTAAAAAATATACCAAAATGCAGTATGTATACATCAATTCCATTAACCCGAATATCAGCTTGCTAGCTTGACCAGTCCAAAAAATAAGTAGGGAGGGAAAAGCACTATAGGTATAGTCCTGTAACAACCACAACACATTAAATTGATTATTATCTAAGGCATGATATCCTAGCAGCTACTCTGGTTAAATTATTATGACAAGGTTTCGTTTACAGACCAATTACCACTTCGTATGATCTTTTGGCATTTGCTGTGCAATTACATCTATGATCATATAAATATAATTACATTCCTTCCACTAGTTTACATGTTCCGATTCAATGGCTAACGTAATTCATCCGAAATCACTAGGTATATTGCTGTTTCTTGTTTTCCTAGCGTTAATACTTCATGTATGTGTGTATAATATACGCATTATTTTTTGCCAAAATTGGGTAGTTTCAGTGCATATTTTGACTCATTTGACTACCATCGCCTATCAAAATGACAACGCTGTATGAACATAATAAGTGGAAACCTCTACCTTTGTTAGACTTGTACTGCAAGTTATATAAAAATATATCCTGATCCCGCCTAATACCACAATTAGGTTAAGTTATGTCCTCCACTGGTCTAGTGTGAGCCACACCTATTTATATTTGGAGTCGATCAGTTATTTGGAGAAATATCCTGCTCGTCTTCTAGTTGCTGACTCAGGCAATTGTATGCACCGTCTACACTCAGCGACTTCCGCCATGCCCAGCCTATTCAGGTTCTATGTTATGCATTTCAGTTGCTGTGCAGATTTTAGCGCTAGGATGTGGACTTTAAGTGGCAGATATCTTCAAACTATAGGAACGTTCAAGCCGTGGAAACATATTGAAAGGGGAATTCCAGTCCCTGATACGTTCGAGTTCACGATACCCCCTGACATAAGAAGGACTTGCAGTTCCACCTCTTTAAGGGTAACGTTCGTTTAGAGACAGTTCACACCGAAAGCCACCGACAAACGCAACCCAAAAAATACTACATATATAATTTTTTTTAATCAAGGATTTTGAAAACGATAATACGCCATTTTAATTTGGCCTTTTTCAATGCCTTAAATACCTTCACCTTGTACAACAACACATAGATTGGCGAACTAAAATAATCCTTCTGTCACCAGCACAATGCTACTAGAGGCTAATCATTCTGAATTCTTAAATTATGATAGTACGTCTAGAAGAGCTTTGCAGTGCCTCATTAAATTTGTGTTACACGCAGTAACCTGTCAATACTGTGCCACTGCACTTGAGTGTCATGCACCTGAGCTACTCATTTTTGGAATCCCCTGCCGCCTCATGCACTAGCTCTTTATTCGGTGTTATATGCTTTGAAATAGTGAGGATAAGGACAATGTGTCAAGATTCTTAGATTACGTTATTTCATCTTTTTTGTTTTTATTTTCATTAAACTCACATTAAAACGATACCAGACAATGGAGGATGGTAAAAAACTGATAATATTATGACCCAGAGTTATTACATCCATTGTTGTTGCTGTTGTTGCTTGTAGTTGGCTTCATCTAAAACTAGACACTTTGAAAATAATTTGAATGTCTACACTAAATACGATTTCGACACATTTATCCAGAAGCTTTACAATAAAAATGCAGACCTCTGACGTGTTGCGCCATCATTCTAAAAGCATTATCAGGCATCGATTGGATGGTCTAACAGTGCTTCTGAAAATAAAGGCAATTTAACATATTCATTGTTAGTTTGGAAGTGTGATACAAATTGTTCACGTCAAAGTAAAACATCGAAAAACAGGTTAGGTTTTTATCGTCGCGTTCCCGTGCACATTTGCTAGAGCAGTTCGGGTGTGTCACACTCTAGGTGCATACAACCCTCAATTCAAAAGCACTGGAAAGCGGCCCGGCAGGGTTATTACGTAGAAATGTCAAAAAACCGACAAAAGGTCAACTTTCCACCTAGATGGCTCCTAGTGTACAAATAGTTCATTCCGCTATTGACCTTTGGAAGAATGACTCATGTCAGCGTGCTTTGTTGGTTGCAGAATCCCGAGTAACGCTGTAGAGTATGTATTATTGAGAAGATGTGAAAGAAGGAAAACCAGTTAAATAGCAAGAACGCATCTGGATGATTATGTGTGATAGTATATATTGGTCTGCATGTGTATAATATTTGCGATATTAAAAATTATTCCCAAACATTCTGCCAGCGAAGTATATTAGCGGTACTAGACGAATTATTTGCGTTCTCCTTTTTTGCGTTTTCAAGAACTTAGAAAAACAATACGGGAAATCATCACCACGCTTGGCGTGTATAATCAAGTCGCATCATAGAAAAATAGGAATGACGCATCACACAGAAAACATTTTTGCAATACCTCAGATCTAGGCGCTGGTTAGTATCTTCTACTTGATATCGCCAAAAATTCTATAAAATTTAAGTGTCTCGGAATAAAAAACAATGTAAAATCTTATAACCTTTCCGCGGTTCATAAATATTCCTACCTGTAGCCTATTTTCACACCAGTTATTTGAAATATACTTCACCAACCAGGGATTTTCTTTTTTGATCTCTGTCACATTCAGCAAATTTGCATATGCAATTTCCAGGATCGAGCACAAACCTATAAATGTCAAAAAAAGACATAATTTCACTCTCCAAGATACGTAATACCCCTGTGGATGCGACTCTGAAAAATTGCTTCATATTTCAAATAACATTAAAACTTTAGTCAAATACTAAACCTGTCTCGTTCTTTAAAGTAGAATTAATTAATTGCTCTTTTGAACTGCGTTCCGTGTAGTATCTACCTGATGTGGATTTTTGGAACCTAAACCTAGTACGATTCTATTCGTGTGGTTATTTCCAGGTGCTACATGGAGGTACCCTCCCAAAGGGGTTGACTTTCAAACAGTTGCAAAAGCAGGCTGAGAAGAATGTAATCAATGTTGATCATCACAAGATTTATGGCAAGCCACTCGACGATCCAATACTGGGCCATCATTACAATATACCCCAGAGGACCACACAACCTAAGACCATTCAGTTTGATACGTCGCTTCCATATGTAAGATTTTCTTTAAATCATTTTTATTTACTACCGCGCATAAAATTGCATGAAAATTTCGTACCTATAAATAATTTTTTGCTTAACAACTGAAACTTATCCTGTGGCATCCATGGTGATAATACTTCATGTTTGTCTGGTCGCTAAATGAAACCCCCATATATTCAGTCATTGGTCGGCAGAACGGTCCAGTGGACCTTTGCTCCTAGTTAAAGGCCTCGTCGGTCTGTTAGTCAGCGGAAGGCAGATATAGAGCAAGAAGGAGTAAATCATTTGAAGTTGAAAGCGAATGGGCATTATTGGTTTGACTATTCGATAATTTTGTGGCTCCAAGAATAATTTTGATCCTTTTGTATACTGGAATAATCTTGGATGCAATTTACAACTAAATTTCGAAAATGTGCACATCTGCTTGAAATACTATTTTACTGACGACGACGTTTGACCACCACGTGGTAAGTAGAACTGACAATTCCGATGATAATATATTTTGTTTATTCATCTTCCCGGTGGAATGTAGTTTGTTTCTTTTTCTTTGCTTTCATTTTCACATGCCTATACAGTGTGTTACTATGCTGAGATTACATGAAGCCATTATTACAATTTCAAGATGGCACCGCGCAATACCAGCAAAACCCAGGACCGCTTCGGGTAGGCATTCCCGTCCCCAAAAAGGCGTTCAGCCCTCCAAAGCGACAAGCGAGCATCAGAGTATCTGTCGTTTTTTTAATGTATCAGACCCGTCGCCCTCGTCTGACATCCCGAAAATGCCAAAAGTCCTTCGTAAATGCGAAAAACCGACCCAAACATGTCGCAACACGCCAGTTAATTGTCATGTGATCTTCGACGACAAATGCTGTATGTGCATCATTTATGGATCTGAAATGCGAAAAATATTACTTCGACATCTTGTTGTCGGCCTTGTGTGGAAATAACATAAAATACAATGTTTCTCAAGTTTCTGGGCAAAAGCCAGAGGATCTGTTTGGAATTACTACCCATCATTCAACATCGATACAGTCTGCAATCGGTGAAGAATCCGACTTGCATTTTATCACCGGAGTTCTAAGCTCTTTAGGAGGTACTGCCGTTTTGATCTAGTACTGGAAATGTAGGAAAATCAAAGTGCTAACCTGCCATATATTTTTCATTACATACTCATGAAGTTAACGCCTTACTGCTTCAAGGAGGCTTTTCACGGATTTTGGCAGATCAAATTATAGGAATTACTTTCATACATCCGTCTCCCTGACAGATATAAGTTTATGCAGTCGGCCTCATCGCCATGAAAATGTCATTGAGCCTTCCACATTTATTTATTTATGATTTGTTTTTTTGTTTAAGGTTTATTTAGCATGATTGCTACAATTACATTCTTTCGAAAAACTAAACAATTACATAACATACAGATATTTAGAAAAAAACAAAATTTGCATCTCGAAGAATTTTCTCTGTCCATGAAATATTCCTTTAATTTTCTTTTAAACATCTTTAAACTGCAAGTAGACTTTATATCATTATTTAGTTTATCATATTCAAGTAATCCTTTCTGAAATATTGATGTGCTAGTTATATTACTATTGCAATTTTGTGAATGAAAATCTATATTTCTTCTTGTAGATTAATTGTGGTGATGATTATTCAATTCTATGTCGTATTCTCAATGCTGTGGTAAAATATGATTATTTATTTTAAATGTTAAAAATAAGAACCAAATATGATATGAAATTTTTTATATTCAGCCACTGCAATTCTTGTAACATAGATTTTATTTTGGTGTACTTACTTTTATTCGATATTATTTTCATAGCTTTATTTTGCAGGACTTGTAATTTTGAGAATACAACTTCTTTCGCAGTGAACAAGTAATTTGTGTTTTTTTTGCAATTTTTGAAATAATGTGTTCTTAGTGATCATTAAACTTTAGTTTACTATCAATTTATATACCTAAATATTTAAACTTAAAACTTTAGTTTAATATCAATGTATATGCCTAAATATTCAATTAATCCAAAATTTTCAATTACTTTACCATTTATCCTAACTGTGATAATATTTTCATTCAGTTAATTCCCTATTAGCATACACTTTGTTTCAAAAGTATTAAATTTAAGTTTATTTACATTTAACCAATTTATGATTTTTGACAAGTCAGAATTGAGCATGTTTAAAGCAGATATTTTCATCTGATATGTATATTAATGTATCATCTGCAAATATCTGAATTATACAATAATCTAAAATGTTACAAACGTCATTAATGTATATATATATATATATATACGTATATATATATATAAAAAGTGGACCTAGTTTACTTCCTTGTGGTATACCCACAGAAATAATTTTTGAGCTTGATATTGTAGATCCAATTTTGTTTTTTTGACTTCTGTCAATTAAATAGTTTTGTAAAATTTTGAATAAATCCGTAGTGATGCAATTTTGTAGGTTATCCCTGCCAATATTCTCAAACGCCCTTTTGAAGTCCAAAAACACTGTTACTGTATGTTTCCTATTGTCCATACATCTCCTCCAGTGCTATAAAGCCATTTGTGTGGCCGTTTAGTTAAGTGTTTCTTCCTGAATTCAGCTTGAAATTAGGTTAAAATGTTATTTCCTTCAGTAAATTCGATGATCAGTACATAGATAATTTCTTCAAAGACTTTTTAAACATCTGGCAGAACATTTATTCGCCGCATGTTTGTGTACAACTAAGAATTCCTAACTTTAGAAACGGAAGTGACGGTAGAACACTTCAGTTTTGTTGGAAATTCGCCATATTTTAAACAGTAATTAATGCTCCAATAATATCAAAACATTCATTTATTTAGGAATAATTGCCCGGCAGACCAATCCAATTAAGGTGCATCATAATGGTAACTTGACTGATAGTGTGCATATTAAAACCGCCAAAAAAAATAGCTCCTGTAATAGTCCATGGGGTTTGTCAAGATTTTACTGATACAATCGAAATTAATATCAGAAATATCTACCACAGAATTATAATTATTGGATATGGAATATAGCGGTGAATAAAATGGTACTTCGGTATGGAGAAGTACTGAAGCAGAAAGCTGAAGTCCTTCTCGAATTTAAACGTCCTATACAAAAATTCAACTTCTGGAGAAGTACTGGTGCATCCACTCTGTCGTGCAAAAGCTTATGGAGGATTGTCAGACCAGCAATAAAACGTCTTAATTGTAGAGAGTCTTGGTTGAAACGTCGCAGTAGAATAAATTGACTGGTTCACCTTTCTGGATATACGCCATCTATTTTATAAATAGATATTTCAGAAATTTTTTTCTATATTTTCGAAGATATTTATGTAACATAACAATATATTAAAGAGGGGTACTAAAGTTTTGGTCGCACCAGCGAAATAAAAAGAGTTCTTAGTGCTGCTCCTTTGGAAAGAGATCGGCTATTATGCATTATAAAATCCAGAATCCGTGTCGCTTCGGAAGTGACGCGAGCTACATGGACAGAAAAGTCCAACCTGCAGGAAAATATTACACTAAGATCTTCCGTATCTGAAACCACATTATTTATGGAATAATCAGTTGAGCTCACTATATGAATAAACTTTACACTTGGAAATGTCTAACAAGAGAATATTATTGTGACACATCTATTTGCTAGTATCTAGTTCCTCCTGAAGGGAAATACAGTTCTCTAAATTTGTAATATTGGCATAGATTTTCAGATCATCGACAAATAGTGGATTGTGACACTTCAGTGAAGCGGCAAGGGTATTCATGAAGAATAAAAACAGCAAAGGGCCTAGGTTCGATCCCAGAGGGAACAGTATAACCATTATAATAAACATATTGCATTCTATTGAAAATATATGAGCGTAGGAGGCTGACCAATGAGTCACTAAAGCAGAAGTAATGCACGCTATCCACTAGAAGATGATGGCTTAACTTATCGAAAGCCTTGCTAAAATCTATGTAAAAACATCAACTTGTTGTATTTTGTCAGTCGATTCTGCTATATATTGTGTAATTTTCATTAAAATTGGCGTAGTGGGTCTACCTTTCATGAAGCCATGCTGTGATGATGTAATTAGGTTTTTATGCTTGTCACTGACAGTATGATAATTCGCGGGTGATTTGAGCTTACCCATGTTGATATTCGATATAAAACATGGCTTGTGCCTGAACATACAACTACAATCTTGACAGTTTGTATTAGAAGCATTTACAGAAGGTAAGTAAGCACAACGATCCTCTCTCGCCTGATTCATGTGAGTGCAAGAGCGATTAGCAGCTGCGTTACGGATCGGCAGTATGAAATTCCTCTTGCGGGAGTTAAGCTTCGCACATGGTATCATCAATCAGTATATTTACCTATTTCTTTTGGCATTGTGACGTAATCGCTAGAAACCGTGAAAAACTATACTGCGTTTTATAGTTTCCTCAACGCGTTTGTTTATGACAGTTCATGACTCGAACGACCTTACGCCGAAGCTAATGAGATCAAAAAGCTACTTGTGGTATAAACAGATGATTTGAATGATATCGATATGCAAACACGTGTCAGATGAACTTTGTAGTAGCGTCTTCCATTGAATAATTTTTACATTATATTTCTTACTTCTACTAAATTATTGCGAGAAATCCTCTCTGCTGCTGGCAGTGTCAAATTTCCTATAAACTCTTCGTTGTACGTAGTTTGTACGTCACATATCAAACAATATCGGCTTGCATACGGCATTCCCAATGATTCCGTTCTTTTCAGATACCAGTGTATCAGCACTTGATAACTCCGAATCCTGTCCCCATCGTTAGAAATTATCCATCGTCTAGAAGGTCTAGTATCAGAAAATCCAAGGATAAAGACGTCAAGATGTAATTTCTTCGAGATGTATCACGATTTACTATTTTAAACTTGTAAAGATATACAGTTTACTTCAATATACAGTTATTGTTAGAAGCTTTTACTTGATTGAAAAAGGTGCAGTTTCATGAGAGCGTCAAGCGTCGTGCATGTGACAAAATTTGACACCAGAAATCTAGGAACGTGAGGTATTCTTGAAGACTGATCACTTTTAGCGAATAAATAATACTATAAATGGACAGCATAGTTACCAAAACGAGCGGCAAAAGTTAAAATGACAGAAAATTGGTAGTAGCAGAGCAGCAAGATATTGTATGGTGATTGTGTGTATTGGTCTGCATGTGTATAAAATCAGTGATATTTGGTATGTAAAAACATTATTACTGAATATGCGGTCCATGAAGTATATCTATTGGCTGTGGGTTATTTGTGTTGTGCTTTCTGAAGAGAGGTTATGTTCAAAGTTATAAATGACGTCCTCACAGAAAAATTAGGATTCAAATATTGATAGCTGAAGTGTCATGACGTTTAGGCAACACGTGCCGTTACGGTACACAGTGCACATCAAGTGAACAACAGCTAGTTCTAAGTTGACATTGTGTACAAAAACCTACACAGCGTCACAAAAAACCTGTATGATGTCAAAAAAAATCGACATAATGTCACTTTTCAAGAGACGTAATACCCTTGCGCGGTGCCATGGCGACGTCGCCAACAACCATGACGCCAATGGTAGGCACCTCAGTCTATATGCTTTAGCATATTAGCTTGGCTATTGGTATGATTCCGAAATTACATTTTTTTTTCTGTTCTGTTCTATTCTGAAATTTTCGACATGGCATTACGTATTTTGAAAAGTGACATTGCCGATTTTTTTTGACATTGTTGGTTTTTTATGATATTATGTATGTTTTTCTTCAAGATGTTAACTTAGCACTAGCTGATGGACACTTGTTGTGAACTCGTTTTGTAGTTGTACGTGTTGCCTAAACGTCATGATGCTTCACTTATCAATGTTTGGCCCTAATGTGATGTAAAGTCTGCTTTAGAGATCGTATTGTTGGAGGTCTAAGCTGTAAGTTGTATAGTGTAGCCTGAAGAAAGGTGAATAGGTGCATAGTGATGATTTGTGTGCTAATCATTTGTATTGATGATAATTCCAGTGGTTTCTTGTTTCAAAGCTAGAAATTAGTTACGCATCCACTTGTTCTTATTCATTCTGGAAATAACGTATGCAAATTTGCGGAATTTCAAAAATGAGAGAGATAAAAGAAAAACCCTGTTCGGTGAAGGAACAGGTGAGAAAATATGTTACACCCAGGAATATTTATGAAATTGAAAACGTTATTACATTATTTTTTATTTCCGGTCATTTAAATTTTATAGAAATTTATTTTGCGATGTAAATAGAAAATACAAATCAGCGCCTAGATGTGAGGCATTGCGAAAATGTTTAATGTGTGGTGCGTCATTCCTAATTTTTCTGTGATGTTGCTGGATTGCGCGGTGACGATAATCCCATAATGATTATCTGTTTTTGAAAACACAAAAAAACAGGTAAAATCGTAATTTGCATATAAATATAAACAACCCGTCGGGCACAGCTAATAGATATCCTTCATTGGCAGTATATTCAGTAATAATTTTCTCACATAGCAAATAGCACTGATTTTATACACATGCAGACCAATACACATAACCATCCAGATGCGATCTTGCTATTCAACCAATTTCTTTCACATCTTCTATACAGACTGCTCGGCTTCACAAAACATATAGTAGCTCTCTGCAACCAACAATGCGTGTTGTTGAGTCATTCCTCCATAGATGGACGCTCACAGCGATTATAGCGAGCAAACTTGGAATGAACTACTTGCACCCTAGTCTGCAAGATGACATTTTATTGTTTTTTTTTTGACGTTTTAATGATTTTTTACATAATAGCCATGCGATGCTTTTAATTTTTTAATTTCGGATAATCTGAGAGCTTAAAATATTTTAAAAATTCAGAATTTTCAAAATGTAATAATAACAATGTGAAAAGTTTTGAAGACTTAAAAACCTCCAAGTATCGGTAACTTAGGAAAAAGAATTGTGCAAATTTCTACTGTTTCTCAAAGTTTGGCAAGCCGTGATAACTGTTACAGTCTGCTAGTGGTGGCATATATTTCACAAAATATGGTTTAGTCTTATTTCTAAATCACGAGTCATGACTGTTACCAAGTACCGTGAAAAAGCATGACGTGATCACGACGTCGCGAACTGGGTGCTTAACGGCAACAACGAATGGCATTATTAGACCAAGGGGCAGACGCTCAGGTCGAAAATCATATACCACCGTAGGACTACTATAGACTGCAGGCGATATCGTTGGTAGTTGACTCCATGTGATTCCATCGCGATATACAGGGTTATCCAAATTAAGTGTCCACCATTGGTAACTTTGTTATTAGTAAAAATACAAAGTTGTTTAAATTAGCAAACTAGTAGCATTTTCAACGCTGGTAAAAATGAGAAATAAAAAAAAACAATTGAGAGTCGTTATTTTGATTTTTTTCAGTAAAATAACATTTTTTTAAATGGAAACCCCTGTATATTATATTTTTTTCTGTTAAAGCATCAAATTTTAAACAAAAAAGTTCATAATGACTTTTCCGCTAAAGTCAAAAATAAAGTCAAAATAACGATAAATATTTTTAATTGTTTGCAGTATTATAATATTAAGACGGCTATGAAAACAACATGGCGTTCGCGATTTGACAGCATTAAGATAAGCGACAAATTGTTAAACTGGACATACTCGCAACTAGAAGGCTTTGGAAAACAATGATAAAATCAAATAATGTCAAACATTAGTGTAAATACTTGTTTATAAGCTTTATTGTGTCATTAATTTAAAGAAAAATGTTCCCCATGAAGAAAAGTGTGATATGTTAGAATGCTATTTAGTGTGCAGAAAATCCTCCTTGAGAGCAAGAGAATACTACAGTGAATTATATCCCGCTCGCATTCAACCGTATGAACGATATTTTCTGAGACTTTATCGAAAATTTAGGGGCAACGAAAATGTTTTTGCTAAAACAAGGGCAAAATAAGAATTCATAATAAGCGAGGCCACGGAAATTGCAGTTATTGGATATTTTGAAGCTTATCGTGAGAATTCAATAGCAGATATTCTCAAGGACTCTAATTTCAGTTATGGTACTGTTCAAAGGATTTTAAAAAAATACAAATTTATTCCGTATAAGTACCGACCAGTTCAAACGCTTTTGGCAGGGGATCCAGAGAGAAGACTTGTTTTTTGCCATTGGTATCTTAGCTTCTGTCGCCAAAATGTAAATAACTTTCGTTACCTTTTATGGACAGATGAATCAAATTTTTCAAATTCTGGAATGTTTAATAGAAAAACCACCATTATTGGTCAAGAGAAAATCTTTTGTTAGTACATCCAAGAGGCCCACAAGTCCGTTTCAGTTTCAACGTTTGGTGCGGTATAATTGGTTCAAAAATTGTTGGCCCGTTCTTTTATGAGGGAACCCTAACTGGTGAAAGATATGTGGAATTTATGTCAGAAATTCTGACTAATTTCTTAGACGAATTGGATCTTATAAGTAGACATCATCTGCATTTTCAGCAAGATGGCGCACCTGCCCACAACTCCAGAGGTACTTATCATTTTCTAAGTACTACTTTTAATGATCAGTGGATAGGAACAAATGGCCCAATACAGTGGCCTCCCAGATCACCAGATCTAAACCCACTTGATTACTTCTTGTGGGGTTACTTAAAGAACCAAATTTACAAGCGAAGGTACGATAACCTTGACGCGTTAAAGACTGCAGTTAGGGAAAAGATAACCCAGATAGATGGTAGGACCATACTTAAGACAGTTCGAGCAGTTGAAAAACGTGCCCAGAAATGTATTGAAGAACAAGGTGGTGTTTTCGAGCATCTTCTTTAAAAAAAATTGTTATTGTATTTTGTAAGATTATAAGTTGATGTTGAAAATAAAGTTTGTCGATACAATTTAATTGTTTCAGATTGGAGGCCATAACTTCAACAATTTGTAACCTAGGAGAAAAGTTATTGTAAGCTTTTTTGTTTAAAATTTGATGCTTTAACAGAAAAAAATATAATATACAGGGGTTTCCATTTAAAAAAATGTTATTTTACTGAAAAAAAATCAAAATAACGACTCTCAATTGTTTTTTTTTTATCTCTCATTTTTACCAGCGTTAAAAATGCTACTAGTTTGCTAATTCAAACAACTTTGTATTTTCACTAATAACAAAGTTACTAATGGTGGACACTTAATTTGGATAACCCTGTATTTTGCTCAGGATATCAGTATACCCATGATATCGTTGTTATTCGAAAATCGTGATAAAGTCACGATGTCCAATTATTAGTATAAAAAAATAACGGTATCAGATTTCTCCGGTATTCAGATATAACAATATCGGCCATCAGTGAAATGCGAATGCTAAATCCTGTCTTAAACCTTACGGTGTGTTGCCAGTTCATAGAAAGATGGTTTCTCAAGGGACACTCTAAAGAAAGCGCCTATGAATGTGGCCCTAAAGGTCGCATCGTCGGTCGTTCCTACAGTTGTAGGACACCTTTGTGGCCACCTTGATTTTCATAGTTTTTTACAGCTCCATGACAGTGCTCTATTTTGAGGATATGCTAGAAATACCTATTTGCATCAAATTGTTCAAGCTTCTGATTTACATCATGTTATATCAGCCTGAAATTTCCTACCATTCAAAAAGAAACCATAGCTTCACAACGGGAGAACGCTGACGCTGACACCGAATACTAGAAATCTAGAAAAATTCCCGCCTTTTTGAAGGTTGGAAAGGACTATGAAGATCAAGGAGGCCATAAGGGCGTCCTACAAGAAATTGTAGGAACTGGACTGACGGTACGGCCCTAAAACACTTGAGAAATGCTTGAAAACCGCTTGAGGAAAAGCGTCAACTACAGTAACAAGTCCAACACACACCCACAAGGATGGAAATACCTGTGTATACAGAGCAAAGTTTAGGAACTTCGTTTTGTTTTTACTTCCTACGCCACAAAATTGATTCGACGTTGCACGAAATGTCCACTAGGAAAGACTCGTTCCCGTCAATAACCTGAAAAAGCTATGCAAATCGGTCCAGTCGCGGTGGACCTACGGGCATAAACCGAAAAAAATAAAAATCGCTCAAACTTCGTTTTCTGACGTTTCAGAGACTCCTGGGAGCTGGGTTAAAATTTGGGGTTGGGGCTTGTAAGAGCTGGGGAGGGTATATAAATCAATCATCAATTTTTGTTGCTAGTATGTTTATATGGTTCCACTTCCGGCAATAGCAACGTTGCAAAATAGTGCTGTCGGTAGGATGTGGGAGAACCTTGTAGCTCGTAACGTACCAAGTGGGTGGGTGTTATGGACTAACTGTATAGGCCTGACTGACTGACTTGATCTATTATTTTTTGTTGTTGTACATGTTTGTAGCCAACTTTTTTCTCAAAGGGGTTAACTTTCGTCTCTTATAAATAGATGCAGCGTTGGGCGTTAGGAGAGGCGTAGTCAACCCACTTGACATTTTTTTGTTTGTTGTGTACCAACGTAGGCCCTTATTTTTAAGTATACCTTGTTATTGTCACTATAAAAGTGCGCAGTGATGTATGGAGGACAATTACAATGTACTTATTAGCGTTCAGTTACAGGTAATAAGAACGGGTACCTTTAACGATAAAATAAAACTCAAATTGGCAGCATATAAACATTTACTGTAAGCTAAGTATAAATGAACAAATTATAAAGGTGCCTCCACATCATTTCTTGTACTTGTATTACGTGCAACACTTACTAAACAAAAGAATGCGTACAAAAGCAGATATTATGCCAAAATAACCATGATATGTAAACTTGCCTTAATTCGGACACATATAATCGGTAGGGTTGTATAATATATGTATATTATATATTTGGCAACATCGCATGTAGATCAATACTGAAAATAGCAAAAAGTTGGTAAAATATATGCAATACAAAAATATTGAGCTATAAATAGGTATACAAATAATGAACTGGTCAATATAGCGACCTTCTGTTGCTTATTCACTAGTCGCGTTCCTGTCACCCTAAGTATCACACATATTGGAAATATACGAATATTTAGGCCGTCCCATGTTAAAAAATATTCCGTTTCCACTAAGTCATCTAGGCTGCTTGAATGGGACATCTCAGACTATTATATATACAATAATTATATTTCGTTATGAATCTTTTTCAACCATTCCTAGGGTCACTGAATGACATGAGACTTGATATGAATAAAATTGATTGTCAAGATATTAAACGTAATTTGGCAAGATATTTCCCTAAAGTAGAAAATTCAATATACAGTATAAAATATGAACGAGATTCTGATTGTTACTGTTAAAATAATGTTCTTTTTAAGAACAGTAATGACAAGATAGGTTGAGTCTTAGAGTCCGTGTTTGTATTAGGTATAATACCAAATTCTAAATATAAATCCTTTCACAGCGTACTTAATTCTAGCCATATTCTGTAAAACCTTCGAGGGATCATAAACTACTTATTCATCTGAAGCTCTACTAGTATTTAGTTATTTATTAAGTACTATCAATTAATACAGTGTGATTCGAAAAGCAGTGACAGTATTGCTAGAGCAGAAAGAACATCCATAAGTTACATAAGAAGTTCCTATACACAAAGATCCTAAAATGTACCGTTACCGTGATACATTATGCAAATTTCTATAGCGCTAATGAGACTCAGTGAGGTCAAAAACATAAATACCATTCCAGTTGCAACGTGTCGAGGCAATTTTCAAAGTTGATCTTTACTAACTTCATCGTATTTTAATAGTGTTAACGTTTCTTAAACGGATTTCTTTCTCAAAAGGATTAATTCGACCAAAAGTTCTCAAGAGAGACTATTCATGTAAGACTGAACATTTAATTCAAAAATGCACTAGAGACAGTAGCGTAGGAAATAATTATATTTTTTCTTCTGCAAGTGTCAAAGTTTACTAGTTTCTCCGGCAATGGTATAGCTTGAGCTACAAAAGTTTGAACTGGTGATGCTGGCCTCATAATTGACCATTTCATGAAATGAACATTGGGCCATGATTTGCGTTGACCACATATAACAAGTCGTTTAAGGATAGGATCGGCTAAATGGGCGGCTACTTCATAAAATGGTCAATGATGTTTGATCAGATCGTAAAATAATTACATTATTAGCGAAAAAGGCAGGGGGAGTTCTTTGTTTAAATTTCAACACGGCGGTCGTTTATAACAAAGCTGTTTTTCGAAGTGAATATTTTAATTATACCTTGCCAATCGAGGAAGAAAGAGGTAATTTTACGACAAAAAGGGGCTCGAGATCTCTAGTATTATGTGGTTCACGTAAGTCTCGATCAAAACATTAAAAAGCTGTGGACTTCAGAACCGATTTTACAGGACGGTATTTCAATCTTACCTTACATTATCATTCCTTTATTTGAAGTCAAAGTCGTGTGTCAGATAAAATATATTTGTCTGTTGAATCTGTCTACTATCCATAAATATTGTTCTACGTATGTAAAACTCACTTTTAGGCAATACGTCAAATAAAGAAGAGGAGCGTGAGCAAGCGAGGTAACAATTTATGATATCTGATATATTCAAAAATTTGTGACACGTGCAATTTAAAAGTGTTTCAATATAATTATTTTGTTTTAATTTCCTGAAGTTACTAGTCTTAATGAAAATGGTTGTTGTACTTGAAGAACAATAAACGAGTTGGTAATATATTCTTCCTTCCCTTATACTGTACAATATGGTCAATCTTGGATAAAGAAATCGTTAAACGTTGACGATTTAACGATATGGTAAATTGAGTTGAATATTTTATGTAAAGCGGCCATATGACCACGGCATGTACATTGTTGGAAGTCAATAATTCAAATCACGCTCTTTTTGGTCAAGCCCATGTACTTTTTAAGGGAAATTATTAAGAAATCGTTGTTATTATCGTACCATCACAAGTCCCTTCCTCACACTAACACACACCTAACTAAATAACAGAGACGCGGCTGCTCGTTGTTCCCGTCGTTATTTTGTCAACGAGGTCCCTCCATAACATTGGTCATCGATGTTGAAATTATAATACGTGCTCACAGCAAAGCCCAAATTTGTAAGTCTTTCTTTAAATTTGTTGACTCTGAATTGACATATAAATGTTCCTTATGGTTCTAAAGAAAAAAAAGTTTCCATTTTATTCAAAACAGCTGTAGTGTTCCTAGAAAAGCTTGTAACGCTGATCAAGGAATTGCTAGGATCCAAGGGGCTAATTAGGAAGATTCAAGGATCAGGAAAATGTTGATACTTTGCGCTTAGTTAAGGAAAGGTCATATATATTGCGCCGGTTCTTAAATTGTCCTACCTCCATATTCACAGGATCTTACAAAATTCTATCGTCATTTTGGTCGGTTTAATTCCCTTATTTCTCATCAGAGAGTCGTAAAAATGGATACATTTACTAACTGAGACCCGAGGAAGGCTGTGCTTATCCTTAACTACCTAAGTCTATACTGTGATGTTGAGCCAGCAATAGCGCGTCCTGCAGTACAGAAGTTTTGTTTTGTATTGGCTGTTACCTGCGACTGCCTAAACTTGAAACGGTTAACCAACCTAAGTTATATTGTTTGCTATACACTTCGAATCATGTTTTGTATTTTTGACGGCACTAGTAAATTGTCAGCCAATTTCCATGTTTGGTTTCATTTTAAGGAAAGACCTTTTCATGTAGATGGGATAAGCAGATCATAAAATTAATTTTAAGTTAAGTGACTGACTTATTATATCCCTGCAAGGCCGATTCGAAGAGCTTAATAAATCTTAAATTCACTAAATATAAATATACCCATCATATAATAGATAATCACGCCCGACGAAATACGCATACAGTGTCAAAATATTCCGACACGTTATAGATTAACAAAATATGCTTAACATTTGCTTTAAAAAGCTTCAAGTTGGTTATACCCTGTATGGCTACGTAAATCAGAAATTGATTAACTCTAGAACACAATAAATGTTTTTAGTAAGTTACATAATGGTACAACGTTGTTACCTAATAATTTGTAAATCTCATCCAGTAAAAAAAAAGAAACGTCATTATTTATTTGTTACGGTGTCCTTCCATGGTCCATTCACCCTACATAAGTATTTTCATTTCGAGACTATAGCTTCAGCACCCTGTGTCTCGACAAGTAATATTATAGGTGCCATGTTTATATGAACATTGTGTATTATTAGTTACTTACTTTCTATCTAGAATTATCCTGCCAATTTTCTGAATATAGGCGATTATTATCATAAGAAATTAGATCAGATTATTCATAAAGAGTAAATAAAAGCTAATAGATACTCAGATGGCTCTGGGGAAACTTTGCCTAAATATACTTCGTGGATTTAAATAATGGTGGATGTGACATAAATCTACAGCGTGCTCTCTCACCTAAAATCCAGGGTCTACAAAAAGGTCACAACGCTATCCACGACAAATACATAACAAAACACACTGAGACACAAAATGTATATAAAAGTGAAAAAGCTGCGCCGTTACATTGAAACAAATAAATAATATTATTCATAATGGAAAAATTGACTTTAATTTTTGTTGTCAGCGCAGTAGCACGCTTTGGGCCAAAATTTGGACAAAAATGCAACATTTGGCTTTTAAAGAACAATCAAGTTTCTGAAATAAGAAGAAAATTTGAGTAACTTCCAGGGCCAAAAAGCGCTGTTATGGACGCATCCTGATCCTTTCACTTGCTTATAGGAACTGAATTATTAATTAAAAAATATATGAGCTGTAGGATATGGTATCTACGTATTGGAATATACATGATTTATGCCTTTGCATTTTTCACATTTGTGGTCGTTTTTGAACTCGAATATATTTAAATGATAGTCTTTGCGACGAACACCTCTGATCGTTTGTATGCTCATACAATACTAATCGATCAAAACCCCATCTATTAAAGAACCCTGTACTTCCATCCTGAAGACGTCACTATACTGAACAGTTCTGAAATAAGCGTTAGTTTGGCATAACACGACATTTACATCCATAATTGACTACCATTTAATAAATATCACATCAAAAAATACTTCTCTGCATCATATTCTGTTGTATTGTTTTATATGTGTGCATTCGTTTAGAAGCTAAACTTCCCCCGGACTTTGAAGAACCCAAGGGAGTGCCTATTGTGTATAATGGACCCGATGCCAACGTAGTTCTCCAATAGGATGTTGTGCTGCAAAATGACGCTGTTCTCTTTGCTTTTCGTCACTGCAGTGCAGATATGGTCGACGAATAGGTCGAGATTGTACAGGCTTCGAAGTTTTTCATCCGTGCAATCTAAAATATAAGGGTTATATGAAACTTCAAGCAAAACGGACTTCAGTTTTTTATATAACACGTTGTACCAGGCCTATAAACCAGACGCATTGACTTTCAACTATTTGTGTCACCTAATTCCAAAAACGGCTACATCCACATTAGGTTGCTCTCAATCAAACGCGAATGTTGGGTACTGGAAGTCGCCTTAAGATAAGCACATTAGAGTTCAAATATGCAGAAATTGGTGGGACGTAACACAATGTTTGAGATTTGGTTCGCGAGAAAATCTAACCTCAACAGATTTAAAAGGGTTACTTCACAATTTAGATACGCTTGCAAAGTTTACATTCCGGCTTGAAAACAAGATGTAAGATGAAAGCGCAGTGCTTCTTTATCATTTACTATCATTCTCAAGAGACAAGATCAAACGATATCAGCTTCCTGAACGCGACGTACCCCATATGGCCCTTCGACTTGATTTTCTCTACGATCCACTACCTGTTTGTGGTACTATCTTCGTAATGCATAATATCTATTTCGGATATGTTTTGGAAGTCGGCTGCAAAATGTTTGCTCAGCAGTTGTTCATTCGCATTCATAAACTTTTTACATTTATCTCTACTTTGTTTAGTTCTATTTGATGTTCAGGTCTGCATCAAATTGCATTTCAATATGGTCTTCCCTGACTGGTTGAGCTGACCGTCACCAAAACATACAATGGTTGGACTACGCGGATTTTGTTTAACAGGTATGTAGGATACATCCAAATACTATGGATTTAATAGTTTTTGCACTTTACTCACTTATGGTATTAGTGCGATTTTGAAACTAAAACATTATTAAGATGTTCTGTTACGACATAGCACCGCTCTTAATTTGGCTGAAAATGGACTTAGGGGCTTTGAAATTAGGCGATTGGTTTCTCGGCCCACAAATCCTCGTAGTACACTATGGCACAATATTTGTGCGTTAATTAAAATTAATTTGTCTTCAAAATATGCCAGACTACTAATGGTAATGTGGGTGTGTATGATAGTATCACGTAAAAGTCGTACACCTTCTGCTTGCTGTACTCATGTTCTTTCACCCTTATAGCTTTCCGCGATAGTTAGTTATGACGGCGGTACAAATATCATCTTTCAAATAGGCAGTATATCTTTTCTGATACATGATCACATGTTCATCCAAATAACATCAAAGCAGAAAGCCAAGTGCGTGATATGGTCTTCTAAAATTCCCTTAACAGAGCCACTCTCTATTCCATTGATGTGTGTTTTAGTTTCATCAAATTGAAACATTGTATTTGGGAACCTTTCCACAGTTTTCGTTGAAATTTTGTGCCAATGTTCAACCTTGAGATCCAGTAACGGAATCTTCGATAATTCCATCGCTCAAAACTGTGCACCATCAACTAGCATTACGAAGGCTGAATATTGTCTTCTGTTGCTGGAAACAATATGATACAGCTTATTCTTGATAATGACATTCGTCAAGCTTTCTCTACTAAATCTTGAAGCATAAAAAGTGAAGTTTATAAACGAACGCATTATAAATAATTCAAATCATAACATGTATTTTGCAGTACCCTGTATATCATGCGTCAACTGAAAATAAGCATTTCAATGCCCGCTGTGTTAAAAAAATCAGAACCTTTGAATAGGGACTCGATAGGTACTTCGGAATTTTGCGTTTCATTTAAGGGTCGTATCGTCAGTCGTTCCTATAATTGGAGGTCGGGTTTATGGCTTCCTTGATTTTTATAGTCATCTACTGTTCCACCTCAGCGCTCTATTTAGAGGTTATGTTACAAATATCTACTTGCGTCAATTTGTTCTTGTTCACTGATTTATATCATCTGTTTATCAGCGTGGAATTTCCTGCATTTCAAAAAGAAGACATAGTCTCACAACAGGAGACGGAACAGTAGAAATCTAGAAATACCCCAGCGTTTCTTAAGGAGAGAAAATACTATAAGGATCAAGAAGGCCATAAAGGCGTCCTACAAAATTGTAGGATACGGTCCTAAGCATTCAAGTTTTAAAAAATCATGTGGGGAGAAATCATGTGGCCACCAGAAAAAATGTGTTGCCTTCGCTGTAGGAAACGAAGTCCCATCTCATTAAAAGAACAGCAACCCCAATAGTTCGACGCTTGTGCTAACGTTTTCAGTAAAGACCTGATAGTGAACTTTCCTAGTACCTCCGTACAATTTTAATGCGTTTCTTTGGCATGAAAGTATTTATAATTTTGTATGCAAACTCTCTACAAAAGAATCATTATCTAATTAATGAAATTGATTTTTTTAGTTAGCTAGAGAGTGTAAACTGCTACTATGTGGCCAGTGCTGCTTTCATACATTATATCGATACAAAAGAAGGCTTGCCAAAAATACCTAGCGAACAACAATGTATATTAAAAATAAAATATATTCACTAATACCATACTAAGTTTTGCTGCTTACTTTTTCTCTTTATATGCAGCTGTCCATTTTTTTCTAAAATTTGCACATAGGCACTGTTTTTCCATTGTTTTTTTTCCAAGAATGCGAACATCTTTACATAAACATATTTGACAAACTTAGAGTATAAAATTTGACACTGCCCACCACTCACTTCGCATATAGCGAATAGCAGCTTGGAATAAAGGAGCGGATGCTTGTGATTAGGATAATTTAATTGCAGATGGCCCAATTTTTGTCTTTTATGCAACTACCTCACTTAATGGTCGCGGTTCACGAAGTTTTTAAATACGTATACTACATTCTGTAGACTTTTTATCGGACATTTACTTCTAGGATGATCTTATCAGTCTAATCGTCAAATCTCCAGCTCCAGTTTTCATTCATTAATAAAACATTAACACATCAAAAATTCCGTTAGTTGGTAGATCTTTACTTCCCTACTTGTAACTTACCTTTGTGGAAAAACAGTGGGTGAAATGTGAAAGTCAAGTAAGGAACATCATCGTTGAAGGGATTCCATTTGGAAGCCAAAGTCTCTGGCTTGTCCTGTCTGAGTAACAAGCGTATACCTTTCATGTTGCGGTCCCTAGAAAAAAAAGCATTACCACTTTGTATTGAATGGCCCAGGCTGTACGAGTAATCACGCATTTCCGTTACGTCAACGTCATCAGGGTTCAAAGAGCGATACAAGTTCCCCAAAAAGGAAAATATCTGCTATCTCAAATCTATTCAAAACAATGTCCACACAGGATCTCAACGATAGTCGCCGTTCGTTTACAGACTCACTTCGCGTTCGCCTGCTCGGTTTATTGTACGCTATCTTTACCAGAAATGAGTTTGAATTAAATAAGATTTTCATACCAACCATCAAGTGAGATATGTCATCACTTTTCGCTTTAAGGTTAGTTTATCTTGTAAGTGGAAACTCACCAAATTCAAATTGTGAGATTTTCAACTTTGCTTACAACTATATTTTTGCGGCGAAGTCAGCAAACTACAGAAATGTTTAATCTTCAGCTTAGCTCCCAGCTAAAGGTAAAATGTCACTTTTTTGGATTGTGTCCAAATGAATAACAACGCAGGCACTTCTTTTTGAATTGTAAGGTGAGCCAGACACTTACTAATCTGTTTCGATAGTCTCACTTCACAATGTAAGACTTTTGATACATGAATGCAGCACAGATAGCGAAGCAAAACAAGCACCGAAAACTGACCTACGAGCATAGTTTGAAAATTGGCATTAGAAATACTGATATTGACTATATAGAACTATGAAGGCTCCAACTGTAGAGATCTGCCCTTTATACAAAAGTAAGAGGGAATCACAGATCTACCACATAACATTCCTACCAAAATACTTCTGATAGTGTACGATGTTTGACCAAACGATATACCTTAGAAACTTTTTAATATACTGCTCTAAAGCCGCACTAAATTGTGCTACAAAAATATGGCTTTATACAAGGTGTCCAGAAAATGAAGGATACTCTTGTAGCTGCAAGTAAGTTGGTCATATCCTGACCCACTTGCAGCTGCGGTATTATCCTTCGTTTTCTGAGCAACCTGTGTATAGGATTTGGGACGGAATCCAGCAACGTTATTGATATAATATTGTTTTCCAGGTAGTTTTTTTAAGCGCTACTGGTATAAGTTGATTTGACAAATCCGAAACTCGGCGGCCTGACTTCTGATTTACGTGGCCCTTTACACTAAAATGTTTTTGGGCCTCGGATTGCCATTTCATCAGTAATAAAATCATCCATGTTAAAAACATCTTGCGACAAAATAAAGTAAAACATGCCTGCCATGATTTTAGAAGCGAATAAAAATAATAAGTGCAGTCAAACCTACTAAACACAAACGCCATATGTACAACATCTATAAAAATACCTATTTTGATACAGATTGTCTTGGTCTGATTCGTCGTTTTTATAGCGTCGCTTGAAAAAGCAGCTTTCCATTATACTGGACACACCGTTAGCGAGTGTGTTGATTTTGCTAAAAGTAAAGCATCAATTCCTATTTGTGACAAATGAGGCATTGTAACATCAATGGATAAGTTGCAGAATATATTCAATAAGACTAGTGAATTGTATGGAGAACATTATTCCCGCATTCGTCTGACAATTAAGTTCTGTTAGCTTGTCAATAATAAGCAAATAAGTTTGGGGCAAAGTTTTTTATCAGTTATACGCAAGAGTTCCGACGTTGCCTCCACGATTGAAACCATCCCGTTTACCATGGATACCACTTAAGCAGCTTCTTGATGGAAAGTACCTGGAAAATGATGAAATGCTGAAAGAAACCGTTAACAACTGGTTTAACAGTCAGGCGGCAGGGACCTTGACGACGGAATTCAAAAGGTAGTGCTAAATATTTATTGTTGAAAAATGAAGAAATGCTCATATTTAAGTTTGTGATTCGATTTACATTCATAAAGTTCCTCTGACTGCATTAAAAAACGGTTCTTACTTGAAAAATGACCCTCGCATTTACAAAGCGGTGTCAAATGATATTAACCTTAACTCTTACGTATTATATGCAGTATTTGTGACTGCAATAACTCCATTACTTTTAAATAATCATTTGAAGCGGAACTGTCCAGCTTTCTGTTTTTGACTAGATTTATTTTATCGTGTCGAACTTCGTACATCCAGAACTGGCCGATACGATCGCTGCTTTGTCCCGAGGGCGTCGAGATTGTAGAACAATCTACAAGAGGAAGGTTTTCTCAGTTCTACTAAAATTAAGCGTTTCAAAATTCGGATTAACAAATTTTTTGGGGATCCTCGTAGCAGCTGCGGGCCCCGTCATTTAGGCTTCTGCCTGCGTGGTTGCTTCGATATAAAACAAACATTAACAGTCGAGAAATGTACATGAAAGAAGCAAATGATTTGAAACCACCATTGTGGTCACTTGACTTAAATGACACGTAAAAATTGAAAATATTTGAATACAAGTAGAATTTAAAACCAGAGTTACACATTGTGTCAGCGACACTCTTGATCTAGTAAAAGAATAAGCGGGATATTATGAGTATCACTTGAGACAATTCTAAAGGAAAGACTGCCTCCAGGAGTTTTATTAGCCTCTATCTTTTGAGCGAAAGGTATCATCTAAATAATAACTATTCTGCAACTTACCATTCTAGGAAACAGCATTAAAAAAAAACACAGTCGAAACTATAGAGGAATTATTGAATATATTATTTATAAAGGGTCATTGGTGACTTTCCGTATTTCTTCCAGGGTGTGATAGGGGACCTGAAATTCTTTTCCCTACGTATCTAATGTTGGACAGCAATAGTTTTGAGGTTTATCATTTTTATGTGAATTCTTAACAATACCTGAAATTAGGCAAGTTAAACCTGAATAATAGAAAGACTATGTAAGAGATGTGTGAGAGGTACATTGATTTTCGTAGCTTGTACTTTGAACTAAGCTGATGTAAAAATAAGCAGGTCAAAAATAGTAGATATAATATAATAACAGCAAATCCATCAAATAAAATAGCTTTTGCTTTCTCATAACAATATAATGTTTGAAAATTGCCAGTACAAATGGCTAGAAAGGCTTGCCCATATAGTCAGACTTCCGATAAGGTATTCATCATCAATATGACGGCGTTTAAATGTTAACAAGTAGCTAGTCAATCCGGCTTAGGTCAAGCAATAATCCATTATCTATGATATGTTTCATAAGTATTTGAATAAAAATAAGGGTCTGCACTCACTTTCTAGTCTCTGTTTTGTTATTTTTAAGATAAGAATGGTCCCTAAGTGATTTGAAACGTCTACTGTCTAGTCATATTAAATGAAAATTCCCCTGGTTTGCGAAATGATTGTAAAGTTTGGTTTTATCGATGCAAGTTGTTCGAGGGGGTCTTTAAAACATTGACGTATAAAACGGGTACGCCAATTTTTGTGAGAACATTTTTTCTTTCGAAATAAAAAAACGCGTTTTTTGAGATTCAATCGAAACTGTTCGTCTTTAAATTTTCAAACAAGTTTTTATTATAATGCTCAGAAAGCTAATTTTGACAGTTTGTAACTAATCAACAATTTATTTGTTTCCAAGTGTGATGCGATATTTTAGGGAATTAAGCCGTTCCATAAAAGACGTGCTAATAATCGAACAAAAAGCCGCAAAAGCCCTCATGTGTCTAGCATCAAAAAAACCTTATAAAACATTGAATCCAAACTAGCACAAATATACAGGGTGATGCATTTGAAATTTTTGAGAAAAAGTACAATTTGTGTTTTTGACCACCCTGTATGAGCAAAAATTAAAATTCGAAAAAGTAACAAATAAGATAAAAGATGGTGTGTAAGTTTTTTTTCGATATAACATTCAGCACTCCAAATTCCAAAATGACGGCCTGAGTGGTTGCCGAGGTGGGGGATTTTTCTAGAAAAAAACACATTATATCTCAGTAGCTAATTACCAAAAGATCAATTTTCTTCTTTTGAATTGATTTATTCAAATATGCAATAAAATTTGAGGCAGTCTATTTGAAAAATCACAACTTTGATATGTAGGTCGAAATTGTGACACCCTGTATAATGGCCAATATTCCCCCTCAAATGTCATGTACAACATCCCAAACATAGATTTTCCCAAAATGTATTTGTTTATGAGTAATATTACATCCACACATGGATGGGCCACCCTGTATCTATACGTATATATAAACATATATACAGGGTGGCGCATCGAAAACGAAACAGAGAAATGCTTAGATCCGTCGATTTTGTTTTCGAGCGGGACACAGGTTTGGCAAAAAATCACATTAACACGTGCAGCCCCCTGTGCGGGGGTTTCACCAACCCTAAAATCTTAAATGGAAAGGGGGGTCGAGTGATACCTTCTTTTAAAGGTCTTTCGATTCCCTTTATAATGATATAAAATTAATGTACTTCAGTTCAGTAGTTTTGAAGATTTATTGATTTAAAGCTTAAAGTAGACTTTAATAGGTACATCAGATTAGTTTGTACTACTTTCAGAAGAAATTTTACTAAAAGAATTTACTTAATAAGTAAATGCTTTTCTTCACTACGCCCATGGTTTGTTTATCATTATGTTGTTGAAAATAGCTATTGGAATGTTTTTTGTGACAAAAAAGTTATTTCTTGAACAAAGATAAGGAAATATCTCGTACTTATTTTAAATAGGAATTTAGTACATAGTTTGCGATTGATTTGACCAAACTTTGTAGCTAAAATAACTTGTAACGCTTTATTAAATAATTTAATCATGGTATATTCCACAGCAGAAAGAGTTGAAATTATCGAAATATTTTTCGGAAATAATCAGTGCGCTAATAGAACAGCAGAAATATTTAATGAGCGACATGAGAACAGTAACGTGCATCGAAAATATGTTCTAGAACTTGTAGCTAAATTTCGGGAAGCTGGCTCAGTCGCCAATAAGAAACACAACATTGAAAATCAAATAAGGAACGAAGCAATAGAAGTGGGGGTTCAAGAGCAAGTTTTTGTAGATCCTACGTACCCGCAAATTGGAGACTGTGTGTGGTGTTAGTCGACGTACTGTCCAACGGATTCTAAAGGCCCATAGTTTTCCTCCGTATAAAATTCACCGGGTACAAGAACTTAATGAAGACGATTTTGATAAGATGTAGGTGAACGAATTATAAACGATGTACATTATCTATTCAACACTTGCTTTTCCGACGAATGTTTCTTTTTCTTAAATAGCGTAGTAAATCTTCATAACTGCCGATATTGTTCCGATTCTAATCCCAGAATTTATCATGAGGTTCATACACAGCAGCCACAGAAATTAAATGTTTGGGCTGGTATTTCTGGCGATCATTTAGTTTTTCCTTTTTTCTTACCTGGAAATTTGACCGGTCGAATGTATTTGGGATTACTGGAAGGCGCCATTAACAGCCATAATTGAAAATCAGAATGATCGGCGGTACTTTGCGAATAGGTTGATGTTCCAACAGGATGGTGCTCCATCACATTACGCATTCCATGTTCGACAATATTTAGATCAGACGTTTCCAGATCGATGGATTGGTAGAAGAGGTGCCATTGAATGACCCCCAAGATCGCCAGATTTCTCACCTTTGGATTTCTTTATGTGGGGTCATTTAACACATTGGCTGCCATAAGAAACACCGGTAATACACAGGCACGTTTTACTCGGAGGCCACGTGACTCACATGTGTTTCACATGCAGTATACTTCTTAATTAGAGATATATCCGCTTGGCCTGTGAATTAAGTTTAACTACTTATACTGTGGCATACTGATAATATAGACAACTCATTGAGATATATCATATCACTGGTTGCCTACGTTTGTAGGTTAAATTTACGACTGCACTTTTACTATATTCGGGTTGGTTCTTATACAGATTTTGCGGTTTATGGGTTATGAGTGCACAGCTAAAAAGAGGAAATTGTGGGGAAGGAAAACACTACAGGACTCGTTATAGGTAAATGGAAAGACAAAAGGGATGTTCCGTTCTTGAGTACTAAGCACACGCTGGATATAAAGGCTACTGGGAAGAAAAACAGAAACAGCGAGGAGATAAAGAAACCTTCTGCCATATTAGAATACAATGCTGGTAAAGATGGGATAGATGTTTCTGATCAAATAGCGAGCTACTTTTCCCCACTCCGAAAAACAATTAGATGGTATCATAAACTAATGTTCGAAATTCTCCTGAATACGGCTGTCATCAATTCTCTTAATATTTACAAGCACTTTAAAAAACAAAACATACAAATTGGTGCTTTTAGAGAGATGTTCATTGCGTGCCTTACTCAAGTCCCAAGTGTCCCAGTGAATGAAGATAAACATAGTCTGATCAGTAGAGAAGAAAGAACAGCAGACGTGAGAAAGAAAAGGAAGAGATGCATTTCATGTTATGAGAAAAAAGCGAGAGAAGGAGGACGAGTTGTGGGAATGAAACAAGCTAAACTGGTCTCTACCAAGTGGGGGCAATCCAATATTCATTTATATTTTACTTGTTTCACTGAAAAACATTAGTTTTATTTTCTATTTCTTCTGTGATCACCGGTGATACAGATCGCACTGGAAAAATACCGATTAACCTAGATGCCAGGTGTATCACCGGTGATTTTAATTTTTTGCAGAAGAAACATATTTTTTGAGTTGTTTATACGTTTTTTATGCCAATAAAGCTTTCGTAACCATGCTTTCGTGATAATTTAGGTTTGGCCTCTAATAAATGAAAATGACACCTTATGGGGGCAGCCAAAGTGTTAAAAAGCAAAACTACTACTCTACTCAGCCAACATCCTTAGAAGACCGGCGACAAAGAATTGTGAACGAGTGCCTTCAAATTACTCCTCAAATATTGCAAAATGTGCGGCAACGTTTTGACCAACATCTTTATTATTGCATGGAGAGTCATGGTGGCCATTTTCAACATTTACATGCCTCACGGGGCAGTTCATTCTTCATTTTTAAATTACTTTGCTGCCAAATGTATTGATCTCCACTAATGATGATGTATTAGTTTTATTTAAGCTTTAAATCAATAAATCTTAAAAACTACGGAACTGAAGAAGGTACATTAATTTTGTATTATTATAAAGGGAATTGAAAGTCCTTTAAAATAAGATGTCACTCGACCCCCCTTTCCCTTTAAGATTTTGGGGGTGGTGGCACGAGCTAACGTGATTTTTTGCCAAACTTGTGTCCCCCTCGAAAACAAAATACACGGGTCTGAGCGTTTTTCAAAAAAAAACTGAGCTGCCAGTAAATGCGTCTGTTTTGTTTAGGATGCGCCACCCTGTATATATATATATATATATATATATATAGCAAATAGAAAAATAATGGGCAAATTCCGCAAATAGAAGGAAAGTGAATTAGAGCAGAAAATAGGATCGGTAACCCGAGCGATACGTATTTCTGCTTGTGGGCTCCATCAGGCCCGAGATGAATGCACATATGCAACTACAAAAGTAGATACACATGCCCATACATCCGGATAAGGGTGTAACCTGAGGAAACGAAAATGGAGAGTGAAAGCCAAGAAGCAGAAATACTTATCGCTCGGGTTACTTATTGTATTTTATGCTAGAATTCATTTTCTTTCTTTTTGCGGAATTTGCCCATTATTTTTCTACCTGCTATACACCTTTATCCGCATGATCCTGTTATATTTATATATATATATAATGTTAAGACACTACAAAAGTGAATAAATATTACAAACTTACACAAGTAGAGAGTCACTTAAGTGTGTCCAAATTATAGTTACTGTCGAGGCTTAAACCAAATAGTAGAAATATCTGATTTACTGCTTTTGAACTCTGCGGAAACAAGTTTATTGCCTTCTTCCATAGTTTTAATAATTATCCTTTAACATGTTCGCTGCCTACTCAGACTGGATTAACTGTTTTCAGTAGCCAAATACTTTTTTTCATCTATCAGACTAGTATTGGTATATGTAATCATTTATTTTATTCTGTGTATTATTTCTTATGATTGCAATAGCTTATCTTGAGTACAAAATACAAAATTCAGTTCAGATTTCACGCATTTCTCACATCGGTATTTTTATTATTTATGCTAAAATGCCGGATTTTATGTGGTTGTTATAAAATCACATAAATCGAAAAAATCGAGAGCTATTGATTTAGATCTATCACGCCCTGGAGGAAATATGGCGATTAACCAGTAACCTTGTATTTCACAAGTATCCAGATAGCAGTTTAATGCTATTTCCACATGATTGCAGATCGTTCTGCGAACTTACGGTATCAGCGATCCACTAGGATATATCAAATTTCCAACGACTACACCATCAATTTCAGTCAGTGGTATTTTCCGACACCCCATCCTTTTTAGTGCTATGAAATCATATTTGATCACTAATAGACTTTTGGCCGTTAGGAGCACCAAACGTTCCTTGTCAGTGTCCCAGTGGTTGATCCTGAAAGGGAAGTCAGGACCTGTATTTTCGTCCTCAAAGCGTACCGCTTCGCAAACTTTTCAATAACTTTTTTAACTGTTTACGTACATTTGAAAATTTCCCACCACGAATTTATCGAAACCCACTGATTAAAAGAAGAAACGCCGAGACACGTCAATAGATTTGTCAAGATTAGAAAAATCTGTATTTATCTTAACACAACGCACGAAAATGTCTCTTTTTATTTCAATAAGTTTTCAAAATGTTACCCGTTATTGGCCAAACAATGATATAGGCGATGTTCAAATTCCAATTCCTGACGGACATTTTCAAAAACATGTGGGATATCGTGGCAGCTTTCGATGATGCTTTGCGCGTTTTCGTCATTGGGACAAACCAACATCTCGATAAGCAATAATTCTACCCCTGTCAAAGTCGCTAACATGGTGCTAATTTGGACGTCTTAGAACTCGAGACATTTTGTTATGCTTAATACCAGTAAACAAATGGACAATAATTAAAAATATGTGTACTACTCAGCTCTCAGAAGCTGCTTTCTTCAAAAAAACTAAGAGATAGCATTTTAACAAAAGTAAACAAAATCAAAGGCAAAACGTTGTCATTGTTGCCACAGCATGCTATAAATATAGTCGTTATGTTGCCAGAAAAACAGGTTGAAGAAATTATTGTTTCTGAGTGTAACACACTAATAATACTGAGTATATGTATATGGTCGCGGGAATATTTCATTAGGTTGGTTATATCTTCAGGTAGAATACGTTAATCAATATTTCTGCTAAGCAACACAAAACACACATCGAACTCACTGCGTAAGCAAAAAAGCTGCTAGAATCGGCCCCTCAGTCTCTACATCCAAGAACTGAGTAACGCTTTCCCTAACAGCTCTATCCACCACTCCGTCCCTGAAGGTGAAAAAGTTGTTGGGATTTTCCTTTACGACGAATGAAGGCTGCAAACTTTTCTCGATGTCCTCGTTTGGAGTGGGTGGCACATCTTTGCTACCTTTGGAGCTCCAAATCGATTCCGATACTAAAAATATATGCAAATGCGATTTTGAACTTCATTCAATGCTTTTTACTTCCCACGCCCACTGACGAGGAAGTATTGTAAATGCAATAAATTTTTAAAATGAGATCGAATCACGAAAAACCATGACACTCACTTCCGTCAGTCTATCTGTCGGTCCGTTGGTCTGTCTATCGGTCTGTCTGTCTGCTGATCGTTGGAGCGTCTATGACCTGAAAGCGATCGCTCGAATTTCGATGAAATTTTTACTACTGTCCAAAGACGAAAAAACTTTGTAGTCTTCTAATGGCGATGGAGCTACGGGGCAAAAACGAAATAATAAAAATCGCTCGAACTTTTTCGTTTCAGAGGCTCCTAATCATTTTCAAAAATATTTTTAATAATCAAACTTGTAGATTAAAGACATCATTTTAGTATGGCTTGGTTCGTGCGCTGGAGAGCATAAATATATAATTTTCATGCAATTACAATGCTGCTAAGTGCCTGGCAGGCGAGTCTAAAGGCGTTCAATATACGGTTGTTTCCAAAACGCAGGGCAAGGTTGCAAGTGGTGACTGTTTAGATGATTCTTAAAATATGTTATTGCTTTGTTCGGAGATAGAGGCCTCAACGGAACAGGACTGAAAATTATATTGGAGGGGTTAGCTTCCGTTTCAATATACGGGGTGGGTCGAGAAATGTACGCGTGTTATTTTAAACACTAATGGACTATTTTTGATTTAGGAGAAGTTATTTTTAATAGCCGGAATAAATTGTTTCTCATACATTTTTCAAGGATGGTATCTTTTTTGTATTTCCCGAAGTGACTAAGACTAGAGGTAGGAGGTAAAACACATAAATGCAATCAGAACTTCACATAACGATTGCGGCCGGTTATGTTGACAATTTTCAATACGCAGACGCTCTACGCCATGTTCTACCTACACAAGATTTCCGAGAGCTACACCATCCTTGGCGACAGGATTTGCTTTATATTGATACGTGTATCTCTTCCACAGTTTAACGTCCTATTTCCAGTATTCGTGCCCTGAGTATGTTCCGCCGGAAGAATCATCCAAAAGGATTTACTTCCGGAAAGCGACCACAAATTCCATGTCCAAATGACAACGTCGGAGAATAATCACACATCTGATACGAGTCTATTCTCAACAAGAGAATACGTCACATTCTAAAGAAAAGGCGTAAAAAATTATTTCGTCAGCTTTCACATGAGCGTATGAATTTAGAGGGTAATTTTTGACGCCCTCGTTTTTTAAAACCCCATTATACAAGTGAAAATAACCTGTCAAAGGCAAAAAACAGGCAACAACAGTATGACATAAATTAAGATCCAAGTCATTTTGGAAGTCCAAAGCCGTTTTTCCTCCAGGCAGAACTTATTAATAAATAAATAAATAAAGATTTCGACGTATTTCTAGACAAAGCGTAGAAAAAGTCAAAAGTGGAACTCACTGATTGTCACGAATAATTGAGGAGCCTGGAAGTAAAAGGGTTTAAGTACATATTTAGTAGTTCTGAGATAAATGGCTTCAAAGTTCACTTGAATTTGAAAATTCCAGGAATAAATTTATCAAAGTATACTATATTAAGTTCATTTAAATGCCAATAAAACACTACAAACAAAAAACATTTCCTTAGTTTTGCTTTTTTATTGTCATTTTTGCAAAAATGTACTTGAATCATTATACATGTTACAAAATTGATGGTGATAACATGATTCAAGTGCAACTACCATACTAAATCAAAGATTATTTAAAAATAATCTATAACAAAATTTCTTATTCATAATCAGAATCTAATATTTGGATGTCTTCATCATTTTCTTCATCTGAATCAGCTGGTCTTGGTTGGGGTTCAGTTATATCAGGTACTTTTTGGCTTGATGTCAGGGTCTATGTTTGTTTCTTTTTTCCTTTTTTTGTTAATGCTTTCCCATCGAGCTTCATGTTTTTATAAAATGTATGATGAATGGACGGAATGTATTCCAATAAACTAAGCAAGTTTTTGTACTTGGCGAGTTTAATCTTTATTGAAGTGCCATTCAAATAAATTTATCAAAGTATGATACTATATTAGGTTCATTTAAATGCCAATAAAACACTACAAACAAAAAACATTTTCTTAGTTTTGCTTTTTTATTGTCATTTTTGCAAAAATGTACCTGTATCATTATACATGTTACAAAAATGATGGTGGTAACATGATTCAAGTGCAACTACCATACTAAACCAAACATTATTTAAAAATAATCTATAACAAAATTTCTTATTCATAATCAGAATCTAATATTTGATGTCTTCATCATTTTCTTCATCTGAATCAGCTGGTCTTGGTTGGGGTTCAGTTATTTCAGGTACTTTTTGGCTTGATGTCAGGGTCTGTATTTGTTTCTTTGTTCCTTTTTTTGTTAATGCTTTCCCATCGTGCTTCATGTTTTTATAAAATGTATGGTGAATGGACGGAATGTATTCCAATAAACTAAGCAAGTTTTTGTACTTGGCGAGTTTAATCTTTATTGAAGTGCCATTCAAAGGCTTTAGTATTGAAAAGTTAAAACACGGACGCCCAACTTTTGAGGTTGCCATTAAGCAACTGCAAAACTCTACATCAATGTTTAGGGTACTCTTGTTTCGAAATGTTAGTCTTTCACTTTTATAGTAAGCAAACCAGCAAATCTATTTCCATTTTAAGGAGTAACCATCACTATTTTTTTTTGATCGTTCATAATTTCATTGAACGGCGAAAATCGTCTTTGTTCATATTGTACACAATAGATTTGGCCGATGTGCCTCTTATTACAGTCTCCCAATCTGCGGGGACAAAAACTTGAGGGATTTGCCTTTTTATCTTCTCGATTAAGCCAAAACTACGGTCACATTCCATGTAAGTGTGCCCGGATTCAAAGAACTTGTGATGAATCTCAGATATATGTGTAGCTTGAACAATAGAACTAAATAGTTTAGTAATGTTTTTATTGTTATTTTGTCCTCCACACGAATTACTGTATGCAATAATCTTCGTAACTGTAGATGGAAGGCTTTGCACAAATTTTATTAAACATGAGCCTATCTCCTGTGAGCCCCTGGATGCAATAGTTTCGTTCCATACATACATATAACTTTTTCCAGCCAGTAAGTCAAAGACACAGAAATTATACGTCCATAATTGACGAAGATAAAACACTTTAGAGGTGGTTAACAATGGCGTCGGTAATGCCTGTTGCAAATCAAAACAAATTACAGCCGTATTTTTAGAATCATTTTTATTTTCAGCAATATCAGCTTTTTTGGCATCTGTTGCTTTCTGGGCCTTGCTTTGGTGCAGCTCGAGGTCTTGCTTGGCATTTTTAATCACGGCTTCATTTGTAGAATGTTTTATTAAATTTTGTAAATTGTCACAACGACTGCAGGTATCACTATAGGGCTTGTGGAATCTTAAATTGAATTCCGTATTGAAAATATGCCTGTAATAGGACTCTTTTACTGGTCATTCTTGTTTGTCAATACAAAACTCCTGATATAATTTGTACATCTTATTGATACTTAATTCTTCTGAGAGATACCTTGCGTTCCCAATCAGTACTCATTTTGTTTATTACTATAACACTACCAGCACCGCAAAATGCGTATTTTTAACTAAGAATAAGTAAAACGTTGAAATCACGTCACACGTAAAACATTAAAAATAGTTGCCAAAGCCTTAGAAGTAAAATCGTTCAAGTGCACTTGAATTATTTTACCACATACTGTATTAGTGGATATTTTGATATGTTCTCAAAGACTATGAGAGATGGCGCCAGGGAACGTTGCCTGCATTTAGACCATTTAATTAAAAAAGTGCACTTGAATCTTTATACTTCCAAACCCCTCAATTAATTAATAACTTATTCGACGAGTCTACAAAAAAAATAACGGAAGAAGTACCAAAGGAAACGCACACGATAGGACCGCTCAAAGAAGGTAACTGACTTTATGAAAAGACGGTGGATATACAGTAGCTAAATATTTATATTTGATTACTTCAGGTATCGTATGATCCCAGCACAGTGATATTTTACTTAAAGCCAGTAGATGCCACTACACTGTATAGCTAACTCTGATCAATCTAGCTCAGAGTTCCTTTTGCTGTCCGGTGTTTTTGCAGTATTCGAAAAATAGACATTTGGGAGTATATTGTACATCTGACAGATCAGATAGGTCAGCCTCGACTACTCCAAATCCGGCCGAAATGAGCCCATTGCGTCGGCCAGCATCCGTGCAGGAATTTGGATTACTTCCCTTCCTATTTCCTCCTTCAAATCGACGAGGGTCCGAGGCTTGCTTTAGTAACCTTTGATTTCAGGTAGCCCCATAAAAAAATCACACGTTGACAGGTCCGGGGAGCGAGAGGGCCATGGAATATCGCCATGACGTGAAATGAGACTTACTGGGAATTTTTGTCCAAGAGGTTCCATAGAAGTGCGAGCTGTGTGAGATGTTGCCCCGTCGGTCTTGTCGGAGTCACACTATTCTGAGACGGACACCCCGACGTCGAAGTTCCGGAAAAAAAGCTATTCAGCATGTGGATGTAACGCCCTGAATTCACAGTAGTTGCTTCTCCATCGTCCTCAAAAAAATAAGGGCCAATAATCATGGTTGGGCCTATTGCACACCAAACTGTAACTTTCGGGGAATGCAGGGGGTGCTCTTGGAACTGTTCGGGGCTCACTGGAGACCAATATCGACAGTTTTGTTTATTGACGTATCCATGTACCTAAATCAAAATGCGCTTCATCACTCATAAACAACGTCATGCCATTGTTATCCAACTGTTCAATCATGAGCTGTGCAAAATTAACACGATGTGCATAATCTCCTGGCAGCAGTCGTTGACAAACTTGGACTTTGTAAGGATGGAACACTAAATCCTTCTTAAAGAAGAGACGTACAGAGGACGCGTGGATCCCTAGGGAACTGGCACGCAAACGGACGGAACGATTCGGGCTCACTCTGTCTACGTTTTCGGAGGTTCTAACAGTACGTTTTCGTCCTGGCGGGTTTTCCTTCATCACATTATGGTGTTACGACCTGGTAATGTCCCACGACATGGAGCACGAAAGTGTGCTCCCAACTTTATAAATGTCTATATTTTTCGAATAGACTTATTCCAATAATATTATTATATATTTTGTCAGAATTTCCCTTTGTATTGAATAGTAGTGCGCAGAAATGGTGCTACAAAACTGTCACTATAATACGTTTGTAGAAAAATCCATACTCGGTGCAGATCACCGTAAGGTAATCTGACAAATCAACGTTTCGACTGGACAGGCTCCCAATCGATTTTCTCATCGAGTAGCCATTGGTGATTCATTTTTCACGAACAACGAAAGAATCTGTTCATCTGAGCCCTTATCGTTGAAGATACCTCCTCTCTTTCTCTCTCTATAGGTCAGCTTCTACGACTATCAAGGAACATATTTTTACTTATTCCATCTTAATAAGTTCAAGACTCTTATGAATAGCCCGTCTGTAGATTTTTCACATCAGATGCATTGCGCCAGTATTTATAGGTTATGCCTTCGCCGGGAATTAAGAGTAAAAGTATCTTAGAAATTATGATCTCTGGTTTGTTTAAAGACTTGTACTTGTACATATATCAATGCCATTCTGCAACCATAGAACAGTATAAATACGTTTTGGAGTCCAAATTCATTTGCTTTCAACTAAGTTGCCACTATTCTGTTCGTGCGTTGGTTTATTATATAAATTAACGTACGTTGAAAATTCAGCGCAACGTGTAGTATAGTTGCGAATTTTTCGCAATCATATGACACTGTTACGTTGGTAACAAACTGCAAGATTTTCTGCAAGCTATTCAAATTTTAATGTTTAGATTACGAAGCACAGGTGAATGACTGGCTTGGATATTTCATAAAATAAAATACGTTTGCTTGCCTTCGAACATTCGTACCAGGACATCTTTTTGTTGATAGTAATGTTGTCACTTGCATACCAGTGCTTAAAATCAGATCAAGTAGCCTGGCAGATAATCTGTGTCAAAGGATTCGATTCGACAATTCAACTCTTGATGACATTATTCAAGGATATTATTTATAAAAATTGACAAATATAGTAACTTCAATTGGGACATCTACGAAAAATTGCCGAGTCATTACTCATAAAGTTTCTGCTGGGTCACTGAAGAACATTGGACATACGAACAGGATTCTAAGATTCAACCATTTCGATGAGAAGTATCATAGCCCTTTGGCTACTGTTTAATTTTTTTTGGCCTCTTGTTTTTGACCTAAAACCGTCAGTTAAAATAGTAGCCAGACAACCTTCAAAATTTGTCTATTTGTCTACTAGTTGGATAATGTGTAATAAAGTGTCAGACTACTACCACTCGTCGTTGCTTCTCAAAGCGGTCCGGAGGACCTAAGCCTTTATAAGTCGTAGTCACTGAAATGTCAGCGTCTGTTGTTAGTTTGTCAGGTCTGGTGATCCAGAAACCAGATAAGTTGTAGGGGAAAGGAAATATGGAGAAAGAAGGGAAAGAAGTATGAGCGAGAAGAGAGGTAATCCTCTGCTTCACGCAACAAAAGGTTGCTGTGCGATTCCGCTTGGTGATAGCGCCGTAGGTCTGGGATAACAAGATCTCTATGGATGGTATCGTTTGACACATACCATGGGGAACCATTTATTGTTCTGAGAGTTCTATTCTGCAGAACTTGTTGTTTAAGCATATATGACTTGGCTAAAAACCATCAAGCCGCGCATGCGTAGATTACTATAGGTTTAATAATGGTTTTGTATATCCGAATTTTATTGACCAAATCCAATTTTGAGGTTCTACTCAAAAGAGGACACAGTTGTCAAAATGTACCTAGGTCATACCATTGTCTAGTGTAAGACTTAATTATTTGGCCATGGTATCCAGACGTCATCCACAAACAGTGTTTGGAAAATTAACATCAGCAAAAGCTTTCGCCTTATCCTCAGTCTTGAAGACTATGCCTTCAGGGCCTACGATGTGTGGAAGTTGTTACCATTCTTGAGCGACTTCACTATTTTCCAAAGAGGAGTAATGTTGTCAAGCATTCCTCCAAGAAAGTCATTTCATTGGTCGTTTCAGAATTCGTGAAGTTCGTTTCTTACTTCGTCAACAAGATTCGTAGCTCTACGGATGTCATCAGGATGAAAGAGTCACACATACCGCAGCAGTTACCTTTATACTTCACATCTAGGCTGGCAAGGAGGTCTTTGGAATTTACAAGATTATATCATCCCTACAAGTTGCAAAATTTCACTGTAGGCAAACTCATCATATTAGTACTACCTTTTATGTTGTCATCATATCTATTGAATACTTGTAAATAAGTGAAAACAGAGATAAAGTTGTCTTGAATAACAATAAAAAAAGACTAGGGTAGAGTATCCTCCTAATTGAAACCCATTTACTTCAAATTTGTTAATGTAGATAAGTATATCGTTTAGTATAATTTCTTAATTCACAATTTCAAGGGCACAAAACAATTAAATTGAATTAGTCAATTTTACAAAAAAAAATGTCGATGTCATCAAGGATCGTAGTATGAGAACAATAATTTGATTTTATGCTAAACTGTATTGTTATCATCGCCATCTGATAAGGACGTGCCACATAGATCGAGGCGATTTTAGACGCGTTAAATATATTTACGATAAACACACAGTTACACTGGATTAAAGACAATATCACATGCATCAGACAATTAAGTAGTGTTTTGTGCCGAAATATTAATACGATTTGAAAGCAAAACAACCTTTCTGGCCCTAATCCTAAGCCTGTTAATGTCAAACTCACTCTGTTTAGGTATGGATGATAAAGGCGCAATAAATGCATTTCTCCAATGGCAGTTATTCTGGCCTTGCACCTCATTGTCCTTATCACCGCTGATGGGATTCGGCGATCTGGGTGGATCAATCTGCTTGTGTTCAGAGTTCAGTCTTAAAGTTCCTCCTCTAAATTCCTCGGGCAGGTCCTCTTCTAGTGTCGTGTCGATCATTTTTTGCGACTTTTCACTGACTAGCCGTCAAATCCGCAACGTCAAGCCAGGTATCTGCGTCGCACATGTGCCCTCCGTCGTGCACGACCACCTTCTTATTTTGCCACTTGTTCGAGGGTAATATTTATGAAAATCAGCTGATGGGATTATTGAGCTGCCCGGGGACTGTCGGCCTTCGCGATTCACAGGTCGCAACCTTGAAAACGCAGCTCGAATCAGCTTCGTGCTACGGGTTGTCTAGCTTCGGGCTGTGGCTTGCGTCGGCATCTAGCGTCGATAAATGTTTGCCTTGCTTTCGCTGTGCGTTTCGCTGAAACTAATATCGACGTGTTTTTGGATATTTTAGATGAGAGCTTCTAGATGGAGCTGAAAGTACCTTTCTTGGTGTCAGTAACAGCGAAATAAGCTTTTTGAAGGCTGCTGTAACAAACAGTCCAATTAACATGTTATCAGTAATATTCTATCATTACACTTCCCACGGTTTGATACCTCATTGTACCCTGATTAAACTCCTTCAATGCGCACGCGTTGTTAAAATACTAGTTTTAAATAGTTGTAGTCTGCCAGAACACATTTTTCTTAGTACAAACTATTCAAAGTTGCATCACAAAACTAAGGGAGACACAAACTCCCCACAATTCAAAAACTATAACCCCAAATCTCAAGGCACCCATAACAGAACAAGATCTTCTGCGATCTGCCCATGTCAGAAACCCCTAGTCCTGCCAAAATCCTGTGTACTGTATTGACCATCCAAACCTGGGTTTCACACACACAGAAATTTGTTTGCTGGTACAGCGGGCCAATAGAACCCAGCTAGGTTTTACCTCCGCTTGAACATGTTTTCTCCACTGCACATGCTCAGCCGGTTTCAAACCATTGGAAATGTGATGCTAGAACATTACACAGGGGGGGTGTTGTGAAGGGAGTAATTACCCCCCCCCCCCCCAGACGACTCGATCAGTCTTTGAAAAGGTGGTATAAAGTAAACGTCTTATAAAAAAATCTGTAACTTTAAGAAAGGATAGCGGCAACACTACCAACCTGCTCAGTGCGCATTCGACTAGCGATTACTGTCTCACCAACAGCAACAGTGTGCGCTTCTTCCTGTTGGAACAGGTATAGTCTAGTCTTTTATGGTCTAGTCTAGTGTCTAAATTCTGTACCAGTCCGGAGACCGTAACAAAATTTGGCTGAGAAGTGAACAAGCGGAGTTTTGTTGATCTGGTTGGTATTAACACTATTTTCTATGTTCTATTGATTTTTAAATTTCCACGCATACGCCAGAAAATTAATTTTTGTTTGTTTTTAGTTTTTATACTATAAAAGAATCGTGTCTAAAAAAAGGACAGACGGAAAAATGGAAATTTAATATAATTTCAATTACGTGTTTGGTATCATTATCATCTATGTCTATTTTGTCTCGGAAGTCCCTCTATATTAGCACTTCAGTGCATTTCGTTCGTCCGAGATGTCAAATTATATATTTAGTTTTTGAAAATTGCGTGAACTTAAGAAATCTTGTTTTCCAAACAGAAAAGGTTCTTTCTAATGAGATACGACGAGGATGTCCTTAATAATGAAGGAAATTTTAGAGTCGAGAGCGGCGACAATTTATTGGAAAAAAAACTTAGAGAACTCAAAAGCGCATGCTACGTACATAAGCAGCCGCATCCAAAATGAGATTATAGAATGTTGTGGCGAAGAAATCTTGGATATAGTTTTAACACGTTAAGCGCCAATGAAAATTTTAGAAAAATGTCCATCTGGCCAAAATCCAATTTTGTATCATTTTTTCTACTTATGACTTACAGTCTGCAGAAATATGCTTGATTAATTTATTTATAATCTCTTTAGCTGTTTTCTAAAAAAAAATGTTAGCGGTCCCCAGGGCGTGGCGGGAAACATATGCCTAGCACGCCATGGCGGTCCGATTTGACTTGTTCGTTCCTTGCACAAACCAATTTATTGCTCAGCACGGTAGAGCAGACGTTGGTGCTCTGCTTGATAGTAGTTGCTTCCAGTTAGTGCCTTTTACGTGCAATTATAAAATGAGTTAACGTGCCAAACGTTTGGTTCAACTTGCAAGAAACCTTTCCTCGTAGTATAGTAGGCTGAAGAAAAATATTACATCGGCGACATTATAAAATAAAATTTTTTCAGACTCCAGTTCGTCTTCAGAATCGCTGAACGATCCATTTTCGTGTTCCCACTTTTGCCTTGACTGGTTCGGAACAAGCCATAAATAAATGAAATTATCTTATATTTTATATCCCTATATCATAACTTATATAATATATATAATATAGTCGTGTATATATATATATATATATATATTTACAAAGAGAAAATGATGCATGATCATTTTCTCTTGGTAGATCCTTTTTGGGCTTGAAGTACCATAGCAAGTGACTATAACCGGCCGCGTGGTTGTGATGATGTGCAGGTTGGCTCTTGTTGTGGACCTTGTGTGTGATTTTTTTCCCTCTCCATCTTCGTTTCTCCAGGTTACACCCGTATCCGGATGTATGGGCATGTGTATCTACTTTTGTAGTTACAAATGAGCATTCATTTCGGGCCTGATGAAGCCAACCAGCAGAAATACGTATAGCTCGGGTTACCTATCCTATTTTCTGCTCGAATCCACTTTCCTTCTTTTTGCGGATTTTGCCCATTATTTTCCTTTTTTTTGTTATATACCTTTCTCCGCATGATCATTTTCTCTTTGTATATATATATAAAAATGTATATATAAAATACACCAAAAAGTCAGCTTTAGGGTATAATTCATATATATATATATATATATATATGTAATACAAAGCGGTCCGTATGGACCGCAGTGGCGTGATATGCCCGATGTCAAGCGGTCCCATGGGACCGCCATGGCGTTTAACGTGTTAAGTCGCGTCAGGCAGTCAGTATTACAGTATTATATACTAAGTGACATATAAATCCGAACCCCCAGTTTAAATGGTTTTATTTTAATCTTACTGTAAATAACAAGTGAAAAAATTTTCAGCCTTATCAGTTGGACATTCCGGTTTTTATACTGCTTTTTTTTTAATTCACTAACGCTCTAAAAATGAATATTTCAGCCGCAGTAAAGAATCAACGTTGGCGGATTTTGGTTCTTGTCTTCCTTTACGATCGGTTACGATGCCTAGAGTACGGAGACCTGTACGATTTCGTCAACTTAGTGAGCTTGATAGGGGCCGTATAGTGGGACTTCGGGAAGCTGGACTTTCTTTTCGGGCAATTGCAGTTAGAGTGCAAAGAAGTGTAGACACTGTGGTTAGGTGTTGTCAGGCATGGCTTCGAGAAGGCCGTACGCAAAGAGCAAGGGGCACTGGACGCCGCCGTAGAACAACAGACCGTGAAGATCGCCGCCTAAGATTATTGGCCTTAAGGGACCGTTTCTCCACTACCAGGTCCATTGCAAATGAATGGTTTGCAGAACACGGAAGACCTATTGGCATGCGAAGTGTTTACCGACGAATGAGAAGTTTTAGCTTGTTTTCATACCGGCCACACTGGGTCCTCCCTTTAACTCGAGAACACCGACGTAATCGCCTTGAGTGGTGCAGACAACGGCCACTCTGGGATCAGGAATGGAACAGTATTGTCCAGAATTTAAAGTGACGAGTCTCGATTTTGTTTAGGCATGCACGATGGTCGTGCCAGGGTTAGAAGGCGACGTGGTGAAAGAAGGAATCCACAGTTTTTTGTTGAAAGACATGTTCATCACACTGTTATGGAGTTATGGTTTGGGGTGCTATAGCTTATGGTTCCAGGTCACCTTTAATCTTCATCAGAGGTAACATGAACGCACAGCGTTATATCCACGAAGTTCTAGAACCCCATCTTTTGCTCTATCTTGACACCCTGGCAGATCCAACTTTCCAACAAGATAATGCCCGACCACATGTTGCAATAGTCACAATAGACTTCTTTCAACATAATGATGTCACATTGTTACCATGGCCACCAAGATCTCCCGACTTATCCTCAATTGAGCACGTGTGGGATATGATGGGTAGGAGATTGCTCAATTTGCAACGTCCTCCTCAGACTCTAGAAGCACTTCGAGAGGAGTTGGTGGTTGCCTGGAATAGGATACCACAGGAGGACATTGACCACCTGATCAGAAGCATGCTTAGGCGCGTTGGAGAATGCGTAGCACATCAGGGTGCATCCACACATTATTAAAGGTCAAAGGGCTTTAAAGCAGTGCAATCATTTTGAAATTTTTATCATTTACTTATTATGCTCCATTAAGTACTTATACAAAATTTTATTAAAATAAAACCATTTAAACTGGGTGTTCGGATTTATATGTCACTTAGTATATTTGCAGGGACTAAATAGTAACGAAAACAAAAATTTAATAAGTACCAGATGAAAAGCAGAATTTGACCTTTGGAAGTCACGTACACAGGATATTATAGGGGAAAGTCGCCTATATCGTACTGGCTCCTTAATCGTACCTTGTCGATATTTCAGATATTACGCTTATGTGTAAAACATCTTTCACCACAATTAGAAACCCTACAGTTGGCAACCAGTAATACCAGCAAAAGTTTGACAGTAGCGCGTATCGCTCCCGATATATTTAACGTTTTATTTTGCGCGGCAAAGTGATATAAAGTTTGGTTGACCTACCGTGAGTAGTTTTGGATATTTTAGTTGACTAAGCCTAAAATCTATTGTATGCCTTTCAGATTAACAACTTTTATACACTTTTTGCTAACTTTAAACATAACCTTATTTCTATAATTTCCACAAAAACTTTATCTTTATTTATTTGGTGTAAAGTTGCCTTGATCGTACCATTAGAGATTGCCTAAATCGTACCGGTACGATTAAGGCAATTTATACTGGTACGATTACGGAAGCTATGTAGTAACAGTATTTTTACTTTTTTATTTTTTTTTATAGACAATGAAAGCAGCCTTAAATGTTTTTCGTGAGGGAAACATAGGTTTTAATGAGGTTTGTCGCCAATACAATATCCCAAAGCCATCATTTAGGAGTCAATTTTTTTTGGAGTGACTATTCAAGAAATAAGTAAGGCTGCCTTTGAATTCGCTGAACGCAATGGTCTTAAACATAATTTTAATAAAATCACAAGGATGGCTGGAAAAAAATGGTTTTATAGCTTTATGAGTCGCCATCCACAACTTTCCTTGAGACAACCAGAATCAACTTCGATCGCACGGTGTAAAGGGTTCAACAGAAGCAATTTTCAGGAGTTTTTCAATATCTTAGAAAAACTTGTTGTCGATCATGCTTTGACTGCTCCGAAAATATACAATGTCGACGAACCGTACAAAAAAGATGTCAGAAAGTGCTGGCTAAAAAAGGAAAATCGCAGGTTAATGTCATAGCTAGCGGCGAAAGGGGTGTGAATACTACATTCGTATGCTGCGCAAGTGCTGCAGGTCAATACGTGGCACCGATGGTAATTTTCAAGAGGAAAAGGATGGTGCCAGAGCTGGCAGATGGAGCTCCCCCAGGATCACTGGTCGAAATATCGGATACTGGTTACACTAACGCCGATTTGTTTGTTACTTGGTTACAACATTTCATTGCTGCAGTTACACCTTCAAAAGAGGATAGAGTGCTTTTGGTTTTAGATGGACACACCACACATTCGAGAGATTTAGCAGCCATTGAGATGGCCCGCGAGAATGGGGTTATTATTTTACAGCTGCCAGGTCATACCACCCACCGTTTACAACCACTTGATGTGGCAGTATTTAAGCCATTCCAGGTCCATTATGACCAATCGGTTGAAAAATGGTTGAGAGAACATCCCGGGAGGACAATCGGTCAATTTCAGGTGGCCCGATTAACCGGAGAAGGATATGGAAAAGCAGCATGTGTCGCAAATGCCATAAGTGGATTTAAAAAATGTGGTATATGGCCTGTGGATAGAAACGTTTTCACAATGTTGATTTTGAAGGCGGAGAAAACAAAAAGCACTAGCGGAAAGCAAGGACGCTGACGATACACCTTCGAGTGATGATGATGATGTGCCCTTGGCGCTTTTAGTTGAAAAACCGAAATCGTGCGCCACCTCTGAAACTCAACCACCCGATGTTTCTTTCGAAGACATTCTACCAATTCCAAATAGTCCTGGCAATCAGAAAAATGCAAGTAAACGTGCACAAGCAGCAAAAGTTTTAACTTCAACCCCACATAAGGACGAATTAAAAGCAAAGCAATCTACTATCGAAGAAAAGAAAAATAGGAATAGCCAATGGCCAACCGGAAAAAAAGTAAAAAGGAAAAATGCTTCGTATGGTTCAAATGACGTAGTGGTAGAAATAGTAGAGGATTAGTGGCTTTGTGTTATATGTAATGAGTGTCGAGTATAAAATATGATACAGTGTTCCTTATGCAAGCTTTGGGTCCATGAACTTTGTGCGAGTTATAAAGGAAGTTCTTCGTACTTTTGTGACAGTTTTTCCTAAATAACACATCTTGTTATTATTGTTTGTCCTGTTTCGTTTTTGTTTTATAATACCCATCTACACACGAGCATATTAAAATTTGTATTCTTGTTTAAATACTGCTGTTATGCTACCATACTTAAGTGGTACGATATATCAGATCAGTACGATTTAGGAAACCTAGTGGTACGATTTTGGCATCTGGTTTCCCAAGTCGTACCATTTGCAATGTTTATAAAAAATGTATTTTTCTCTTAAATTAGATAAGTAGCCATAACAAAAGAAAGTAGAAATATGTAAAAATCATTTAGTTAAATATTTAAAATAAAAGGTGCCCCTTAATATTGAAAATGTTAGCTTACTATACATTTTTCCGAAAAATGGTACGATTTAGGCGACTTTCCCCTAGATAGTGGAATGTCACTGTATTTATCATGTGATGAAAACATTTTTCCTTCAATTAATAGATGCCTAACACCTGAAATTTGAATAAGGTTGTCTTTCAAATACAACTCCCTCCTGTTGGCTGATAAATAAAAAAGCAGATATAGTTAAGGGTTTACTTACGTTTAAACCACCACGGTGATCTTTTCCAAAGTATCCAATCAAGATATGTGCTTTTATTTATTGGCCAGCAGATTGATATAAAAGTTTGTTCAAATTCTGTTCAAATCACTTTCTAAGCTAATGTAATGATTGTTTTATTTTGAGACTGTGAACTGATGTAGTTTCATAGTTTATATGTTTTTGTTTTTTGAGACTGGCTAAGAGAATGCAATGAATGTTTTTTGTGTTTAAGAATTTTATTTTGATTTAGGTACATTCAGTTTTATACTTTATAGAAATAGTAACATATTTGTTATTCTTACTTTTTTCATGAACGCCATTTTTGTTTTTTTTGTCTGACATTGTTATGTAGACAAGTCTGTGATAGATTATATTATTTTGCATTTTTGTTTCAATATATCAAGATTGCTCGAGCTTGGTTTTCTTTATTTACACTTTGATTTCATATGATTCAAAATTAAAGAAATTGTATGTGTTTTCTACAGAAATTACTGTAACAAATTCATATGTCTTCATACTACCACCACGTAGGGTTGCCAACTTTTGATTTGGAATTTTCTGGATAAGGGGATTCAGAATTCTGGAGAAGGATACAAATTTATGAACTGTAGGTACTTTATTTGTGACATAATATTATTTAACGTAGGAAAACATATACAGTATAGTACACAGAACTAACCATATTAACTTAAACAGATCAATAGGTTCTATGTTAATAAAAAAATAATTATTGTTGTGAAAGAGTCTTTTAGATAACAAAGATATCCTGGGTGCGCCATCTATTACTTTTTTTTTACTTATAAGTTTATGCGTTACCATGTGAGTCAAAAGTCATGTGGTATGCATAAATGAACTGTCAAAGGTATGCCATTTATAGTCATGGATTCGTTTACAACACAACAACGCATTTTGGTTACCCAAACTTATTACGAAGACGGTCGAAATGTAAAAAATACTTTTCGCAAACTTCGCACTAGTTTTGGCCGTCATGGTCGCCCTACAGAGCCTGGAATTCATTGGATTGTTAACCTTTTTGAGGAAGCTGCTTCAGCAGTGAGTGAAAGTGTGCGAGAAGATCCAATCACCTCGACTAGGTACCGTTCGCAACAATTGGGAATTAGTGAGGCAACTTTACGCCGTACACAGTGACTTCCATCTCCATCCAACAAAATCCAACTAACACAAGAATTGAAGCCGGCAGACCATCAACAGCGGCGTGTTTTTGTTAATTGGATGCTGGAAAGAGAAGACGGATTTTCGGCCAAAGTGCTCTTTTCTGATGAGGCTAATTTTCACCTCATTGGGTACGTAAATAAGCAAAATTGCAGATTCTGGGGGGCTGAAAATCGACACCAATATCATGAAAAACCTCTCCATCCTAAAAAAGTGACTGTTTGGTGCGGAATATGGACTGGTGGCATCGTTGGATCATTCTTCTTTGAAGATGCCGAAGACAAGGCCATTACCGACAACGGGGAACGTTATCGCGGCATGTTAACAGACTTTTTGTGGTCAAAATTGGATCGTATTGGTGCCGACGATCTTTGGTTTCATCAAGACGGAACAACGGCTCACACATATCGCCAAACAATCGCCTTATTGCACACGAAATTTCAAGACCGCATAATTTCATGAAATTCAGATGTCAGTTGGCCCCCGAGATCGTGCGATTTAACACCTCTTGACTATTTTCTTTGGCGATTTTTGAAAGGAGAAGCTTATGCGAATGGTCCCCAGTCAATTCAAGACCTAAAGCGCAATGTTCGGACTGAAATTGCGGCCATAGACCCGATTATTCTGGGAAAAGTCATTGAACATTTTGATGTTCAGATGTTGGCCTGTAAACGAAGCAGCGGTGGTCAAATGACTGATGTTATTTTTCATACATAAATGGCATAAATCAGCCTTCATTTATCAATAAAAAGATTGATTTCACTCGTAAAAAGCGTGTTGATTTTTCAAATAGAAGAAAAAACTAATAGATGACGCACCCATATATATACAGGGTGTCCGCAAAGTTGGGGTTTTCCTTTACACGACGTGTAGATCTTGAAAACATAATCAATTTTTCTTAGTACCATATACACCAGGGAACCGAGATAAAGGGCTCTGCAACATCAAAAATATTTGAATACCATCCTGTAGCCGCGACCCGCGATATCCCCGACTGGTACTAGGACAGTAGCTCAACCCGACGACAGAACTGGGTCGGGGTCAGTGTGTCAGGTCAGTATGCAACCTTCAACCGACGGTTACGGTCACGCGTGTAGAGGTAAACGAACCCGTATATCGATTGCGTTTAAAAAAAAAATAATGGTCGAGAGAGTCAGGGATACGGGCCATTTGGAGGAATTTCGAGGTGGGCACAGTGGGAGGCCTAGACAACCACGAATGGTGCAAGTTGAGGAAGAACTACTGAATCGCGTAGACGAGAATCCCTCAACAAGCACTAGAGACGTGGCTAGAGAAGTGCAAGTATCAAAAACTAAAGTGTGGCAAACGCTGCGTGAAGAGGGGCTGTATCCGTTTCACGTCCAACGTGTACAAGCCCTTCAACCTGACGATTTTCCAGCAAGAGTGCGGTTTTGTGAGTGGTTGTTGCATCAACATGACAATAATCCGGACTTTTTGAAGTGCATATTGGTGACAGACGAATCTACGTTCACGCGTAATGGGGTGAATAACTTTCGCAACACTCATGTTTGGTCAGTAGAAAATCCGCACGCTGTCCGTCGGGCACATTTTCAACAAACATTTTCGGTGAATGTTTGGGCTGGCATGGTGAACGGTATGCTCATTGGACCATTATTTTCCCAAATCGATTGGACGGGATGCAATACCTAGACTTTTTACGCAACATTTTGCCTTCCTTGTTAGAAGATGTGCCACTAAGTGTAAGACAATCAATGTGGTTTCTGCACGATGGTGCACCGCCCCATTTTAGACGCGAAGTGCGTGAGTTATTGGATGAATTATTTCCGAATAGGTGGATCGGACGTAATGGACCCGTAGCGTGGCCTCCGCGATCTCCAGACTTAACACCATGTGATTTTTTTCTTTGGGGAGAAATGAAACGCTTAGTGTACAAAACTGAGGAGCATACGGTTGACGAACTTCGTCTCAGAATTGAACAAGCTGGTGCTTTCATTCGGGGGAGGGACTCCATTCTCAAAGCCTGCACCGATGCTTGGCTACGTCGTGCACGCCCCTGTGTTTTTGAGTCAAACGGCGATAACTTCGAACAATACCTATAAAGTACGTTTAGCTAAAAACTGAAAACGCGCAACGCCGTCTTATTTGTTTGGTCTGCACCACCGCTGGCGTCTGCTCGGTAGCGCATCAGCTGATTTCATTTTCTGTTGGAGCGGTATGATTTCGGGCAGAGACGTACTTAGCCCTTCTGGTCAGCTGGAGAGTGAGTACTTTTTCCTTTATTTTTTCTTACTAGGTTGCCCTCGTTTCACTACTTTGTTATTTCAAGGGTAGTTGTTTCTGAAAAGGAGAACCCCAACTTTGCGGACATCCTGTATATATATACAGGGTGACTTCAAAGTTGAGTCATTTATTTTAACAGTGAGTAGATCTGATCAAAAGAAATGTTGTTTTTCCTTTAACATTTTTCTGGTAACATTAAAGTAACAAAGTTATAGCCCTTTAGAAGTTTGAGTACCGCCCTGTCTCAATAATAATATTATGTGCTCGTGTTTGGCAACAACGGATATAATCCGCCTTATGGGTTCATCGCATCGGAAACAAAAAATCTAAAGAATTTGAAACGCTTATCACGATGTTTTTACTACAATTTTATTCAGTTGTATTCAGTCAATGTGTCAGTCGGTAACGCGTGAGTGAATAGTGGTGTTTGTTATTATATATTATTTTTTACTGAAAGTGTCCAATAAATTCTACAAAGAACTAGTCCTACCTTCTAAGAACATTTTTTTATACAGAAGCAGCCGCGCAGGCAGAAGCCTAAATGGCAGAATACCACGACTGCTATGAGGATCCCAAAGAAATTTTGTTAATCCGATTTTTGAACTGTCTAAGGTTAGTAGAACTGGAAAAGCTTCCTCTTGTAGATTTTTCCACAATATCGAACCCCTCGGGACAAAGGGGCACGGAGAACACGTTTAGGATGGGAGGCCGAAGTCAGACGGGTCTGTCTGGCAGCCACATCGCGCAGCGACATCACGTAGGAGAGCTCTGAGGAGCATTTTCAAATGTAATTTCCCGAACGAATAAGGAAACGTGAATACTAGTTCTACCTCTGAATACAGTTAGACCTCCAATCATTTCATCTCTGAAGCAGATATTACAACACATCAGAGCCAAATAATGATAGCTGAAGCAAGATGCTGTTTAGTCAACACATACACCTACAAAAACTAGTTCAGAAAAAGTGTAAAACAGTGCTAAGTTGATATCTGGTAGAAAAATCTACGTTATGTCACAAAAAAACTACAAAATGTCAAAGAAGCCGACTAAATGTCACTTTTCAAGATACGTAATACCCGTGCTAGGACGCTTTTTGTTCGTCAAGGTACAGTACTACAGTAAGCAGTGATAACCTCCATGTCTCTAGTCAGAGAGGAAGTCGTTGCAAGTCTTCTTTTTTTCAGCTCACCGGCAAGTATCGGCTTGTCGCTCCGAATTCCTGCATGTAGAGTAGGAGCCAAGACCGATCCATGGGGAACACCCGCGTTGACGTTGTGGGATGAAAAGGAGAATCCGTCCATTACGACGGATATCTTGCGGATAGAGGGAAAGTCATCCTCGCATAGGATGGAAACCTGCATAAAGGCAGCCTGCCACAGCTGATCAAAGGCTTTCGTGATATCAAGGACGCTTTTGTGATACTAAGAGCAACGACAAGAGTCTCACCATAAGAGAGTTTACTCCAAAATTACGTGACGTAAGCTAGGAGGTCCCCTGTGGATCGCTGGTGCCGTAAACCATACTACATTTCAAGGCCAGACCAGAAGCTTTATTGATGTCGAGCGACAAGATTACTCATCTTACGGTCTTATGCCTGAATGTTACTTCCTGCATAGAGTACGGGCATTTGGCTGTTGGGGGGGACGTCCATGGTGGCGTTGGCAGCACAGATATTTTCAAGAACTTCCTCCTTAACCATTGAGTTTGTCGCAATCGTAGTCGTGGTCGAAGTCTACTTTGTTAAAAGTTCCTTGCAATCGTTGCATCCTAGCTAAGGCACTTTCACGGTATGAGGGATGTATTCCTCAATCCCAACGAGGATAATTTAGACAGCAGCGGTTGCCGCAGTAGTAGACTCTTCGGTCTCCTGATCAGTCGCCGTGTGCTGTGCGGGTTCGAGTCCCGTCCCAGGAGAAATTTTTCTCTTGGCTATGGATGTTGTGATTTGTCCGTAGGTGGTAGATGGTCTCTGACTATCGAACGCGGACGTACCACCCGGCGGTTCTCGTAGGCGTAGCCAGAATGTGTGCATGTTGCATGCACACGTGTTCCCTCGTCAGAGTCCGTGTGGCGATCCCCTCTCTCCCACGTATCCCCCTATAGCCCCACGGTACCCAATGGGTGCTTAGGCCTTAGGCCTTCGTGGTAGTTGGAATATAAAAAAAAATCGGTTATCTATGAACAGGCAGGGGACGCATCCCCGTCAGCGAAGGAAACATGTTTGCAAGGAAATATGGAGAATAAGTGCCTGAGCCCCTCCCAGTCGGCATGTGCTTAATGCCAAATTTTTGGCATGGGCGAGTTGCTGCTGCCACAACGGGTTCTGACAGAAACCTAACCTCCTCAAATAGATCCAGAAGGCGACTGGCATGTGGGGAAAGGTTAGGGCTCGTCATCTGTGACAGCTCTTTGGTAATAGCGAACGCTTCAACTACACCACCTGCAGAATCGGTCTTGTTTGAGCCCAGCCAAAGCACATTATGGGCATTGAAATCACCGAGAAGAACTACCTCTGAAGCGGGGTGATTGGAGTCCAGAAAGTCGATCTTGACAGCGAGGTATCCAAGTAGGTTATTCCAGTTATGGTCCGACGGAGAGCGATAAAGGCACCAAACAAATTTGGGAGATGGTTTGGAGTTGATGCGAAGTCATAGAATGTCATTCCGGTCTAATTTCAAAGAAACGTCTCTGGAGCAGGAAATACTGCTGCGGACAAAAGGAACAACTCCTCCGCTCTTTCTCAGACTGGAGTGCCCCTCGTAATTTGGGAAGCTGTGATGATTAATCGTTGCAGACTCTGATATTCTTGTCTCCGGCAAGAAAAGCATGGCGAAACGATTGGATTGCAGGTACTGATGAATAGCATCAATGTTGCTGTTAGTCCCGAAGGTGTTCGTGAAAAATTTAATCATTGATGTTGTTCCCTCGAGTACACCCCCCACCTGGACATTCCGAGGGTGGAGCTTATGTTCGGAATTGTTAGTACTCGAGGAATCCATCATCATTAATTTCTTTGTTGGGGAAGATAACTGACTGCATACCTGTAGCTTATGTGTGGAAGCATTTATAAGACATCCTGGGAAAAGCTAGCGGGTGATACCGCCTCGGTCGTCTGGTCCTTGTCTACGAGCTTCATTTTGCCTGTTAAATAGACCTAAAGTGGCCCATTGTCAGACTAGCACTGCCACCCGGCAATCGGTACTGAGGTATTGCTTAACGAGTGTGCAATCACTTGTACGGGAAGAAGTTGTATACTGAATACAATAGCTTCCACCGAGATTCTAGACAGTTGGCAGCCATACACCGTATTCCTGTTTAAAGTACAACTGAAAATCACGATACATTTTGTCATTGCTGGTACTTGCTTGAAAAAATCCAGCCTAGTAGCCTAAAAGTTAGTAGTAAGTGACGTCTGGTAGGTTGACTCTACACTTCCCACGCAGCGCTGTCATCAGTTCATCAAGTATGTTCGGCACAAGATAGACCTTACCAACATGTAAAACAGATGAATTAAACAGAACAAGTCAGTTAAACAGGCCCAGATATTGTAGTTGACATGTAGACAATGACTCTATTTTGCTCCATTCCTCCTATTTGGTCTTTTCTTTATCCCCACCTTTGGTTGGTATCTGAGCAACCAGACCCGAAAAAAATCTAGCGGAAAGCTAAATTACATCAGCAATCATGAACGGTTGATATACTGACTTACGATAGTATTTAATCAACAAGTTTCTTGACTCTATTTAAGAGTGTCGTGAGTATAAACGTTCTAAATCACATCAGCCCACAGCATGACCCATGACCCTTCAATAAATCATGATCCTACATGCATTTCGAATGCTGTTATGCACTCTTACATAATTAAATACGTTAAATTAGACCATCATCGTTTTACGTTAGCTGCTAACAAGATTTTGCTACATTCTAAGGTTTCGGACGCTAATAGAATCGCAAACATGTATCTGGTGTCGGGAAAACCTCAGGTCATATACAGCACATAATCAAATGTGGTGTGTGATTTCTTTATTGTTAATATTGCGTTTGGTAGAATGTCAATACAACGATATTTGTGGTTTGCACCATGGCAAGAAGTTCTTCTTGGAGCATGGAGAAAGTGGATCTGTGGTGGCTGACTACAAGGATAATATGGTGAAGAGCAATGCTACGTCTACATATAGTAGATGCAAGGTGGAGTTTGTTACTTGTTCATCTTGTATTATTGAGATCCAGTTTCGGTGAGTAACACGTATTTTGCGACCAGATGCTTTAGCGTCGTTTTCAAACCAGAATAACGTCGTAATATCACCACTGTAAAAGAGGCATCAAGGCGGTTCCGGCGCAGTGAGTTTCAGGCCATTTACAAGGGTTTAGCTGCTTCGGAATTGACGCTCCATTTTTCTATATATTTGAATAAAATGTATACAGTATTTTCAGAAGACAATTGTCCAGGGTGCTATAGAGCCACTTTTCTAAAAAAAAATTTTTCCAGGAGTTATGGTGGGTGGAAGTGCAGATAATTGTTGTTCGACTTCTCGATTTTTTTAAAAATAACCCAGAGGAAAAAACGAAAAAGTGGCTCTATAGCACCCTGTGCAGTCTTGTTTTTAGTGCACTGTGAAAATTTCATTGAAAAATATTCAAAAATGAAGCGTCAATTTTGAAGCGCGAAAACCTCTGCAAATAGGCTTTTACACGAATTTTATCCACTATCTCGTGCTGCCAAGAAAGGACGTATTCAGATAATTTGTTGTCCCAAGTTAAACAGTAGCAGTTTTAACGTCGGTCGTTCGAGATAAACATCGGATCAGTAAGTGATATTTTTAATAGACTTCAATGAAAGAGGGGAAATTTTTAATCGATTTTGATCATTTCTTTTTATACAATAGGCCATGCTTCAGAGGTGATACCACAAAAAATCATTTTTGTTCAATCACCCCAATATGGATATCAAATGGAAGCACTTGTACAAAACAGTAATACGAAAACAGTTTCAAATCAAGATGGCGGCCGTTACAAAATGGCGGATAACATACTTGCTAATATCTCAAATAAGAGTCGTCGCCTTCTAGAATACAGTACTTCACTAAAAATTTGATTCCAAGATTGCCGCCGTTTCGAAATTGCGAGTTACATATTTTTGTACAAAACCCCCAACTTACATATCAAATAAAAAGACTTGACATGTGTGGTAAAATACAGAACTTTGTGACCAAAAGTTTCCAGGTGGTTCCAGGGTCGTTGGAGGCGGTAATCTTTTTAGTTAAAAATAATAATTATAGTGAACGCATTTAACACAAATAAAATGTCACTTGCTGTTTTGCTTTAGCCTTATGGAGTATCGTAAAATAAACTTAACACGATAAGCGTCATGAGATATAATGCGTGTGTCGCACCTCATTTGGCGCTTTGGGCCTCGTGACACACATGATATGTCTCACTGCTGGCAGTTATATTTGGCCGCGTAACGTAAGACGTGTGCCATGCTGATGTGATTTTCTTACGGGAACCAAGAGTCCGTGGCCTGAGGGACCAAATTATACTGAATTGGAAATGAAAACATTAAAAAACACGTTGTTTATAGAGTTTTACAAAAAGAGGATATTCTACAAATCTAAAACAAAAAGCAAATCTTATAAAATAATCAGACATTCTTATTCAAAGGTGAACAAAGTAATTTCACAGCAAATCAGTAAGTTATGGTAAATGATGATATTCTAACGAACACAAATATGGAGGAACTCTTATAAACTAAACAGATTGACAAAGTCTTATGCAGGAATAAACAAAATGCCGGTATAAATAAACAGTAATACAGATAAATATGGAATTACTACAACTACTATCTGATTCACTACCACTTGGAGAATACGCATCAGATAAGTATACATCCCCACATGACTCAGTACTGCCACTCTCTTCATTCGATAGTATTTCATTACACAATTGTTCAAGCCTTTTTTGCTCCGCTTCGTAATGCGACATCACAAATTTGGTATTCAATAATTTATAAACAATAAAGCAATTTGGACAAGATGACGTACAATACCAACAACGCTTCAATAATAAATGACACGAAACAGTGCTCAACGCGCGACATGATGCAAGTCTTGACTTGCAAAAAACGCGACGCGACTTATGTGCCACGCGACCCGACTAGTCTGTGGGCCACGCGACATACAACTAGTACCTGAGAAAAAAAATCAAAAAAGGGGAAAAATCATAGGATTTGAGAAATAAGTCAAGTCAAAATATTAAACCGAAACTTAAAACAAGCTAATTTGACAATAGTAACAGTTTGGCCCAGTGGACTGGATTTTCAGATTCTACTGTGGCGCTTGTAACGCTTCCTTTCCGCAAAAAGTCCAGAAAAGATGGAATGCAATGAAGATTCCAACCTTTCTGCACAATCACAGAAAGGGGGTTACAATTAGCTTCCGGTAGCTCAGTCGGTGGCATGAGGACATCTACAGGCGTGTAGCTGTGTGTCGACCATGGCATGGCTAGAGGATAGAAGAACAAACAGAACACAAAAATTTAACAGATTTTATTTAACAAAAAAAAACATTTCCATTACATTACAATTTTAAAGTTTTAAAGAACAAAATACATTTTACATCTTTGGCGCTGCCAAGGCGCATGCATGGGTGAAGTGATTGGCCATGGCTAGGCAAAGTCAAAGACTAAGGCAAAGGGAAAGGGAAAGAGAAAGGGGGTGGCCCCAATCATTTTGTCCTATACGGACACACATTCTACAAAATTCTAGCACATGGTGCTATATGACCTTGTGCTATAGAGAAGAAAATTTTTAGCTGTTGTTCGATCGGCGGCTCAAGTGAAAAAAAAGCGCGAGGAAGATCGCAGATCAGGAACTCCGCATCAAGCGCTCCAAGCGGAAAATTTTCCAAGTAGAAAAGCTAGAGATGGGATTAATGAAATGATAATCGAGAAGTGATTTAATAAATACGATCGGACGGTGAAACCGTTACACTCGCCCCTACTAAAAAAAAATTCGAAGAAGCATTCAAGAATTTTTTTTTATTTGACATGGAAATTGAAAGTTATCACGGAAGGACAAATGTAGAACCATTCGACCAGATAACAAGTAGCAAAAGTAAGGTAGAAACAAAAATGTTAGAAGAGAATTGGAAGAAAAAGGGATAGCCTCAAGTCTACCAAGCAAGAGGGATGGTTATAGCACCAACTCGCTGAAAAGTACAGTGAAGTTGCACTTAAAAAAAAACTATCATCATATGATGAAAAACCCAAAACATAAAACATCGTCATACCTAAGACGAGAAAAATAATAAACCAAAAGTTTCAGCAGTAGTCCAAGCACGAATCACAATGGCATCCAAAATGCACGACTGACTACTAAAAACTTCAAGACTAGTAAGTACCTAAACCATAAGAGGTACAAAAAAAAATAATAATCTTTCTCAAAACAATTGCCAGATTATCTCGCAATACTCCAAACCCAAAAAGAAAATCATCTACAGTGATATTTTAAAGCAATATCCAATATAAAAAAAACAGTGCATTACTATTTTCAAAATATGAAAATCAAAAGAAATTAACAAATTCCATTAGGAATTCAAGTCATATAACAAAACAATTTACAAGTGCTAAACCAATGAAAACTTGATCACTAAGGTATTTTAATCAAAAAAAGATGTTAACTAAGTGCAGTTCTGATTCCAAAAAAAAATTGTCGAGCGCCAGCAGTCTGTAAGACTACAAAATAATTCAAAATGTTTTCAGAGAATTAAAGTATATAAGAGACATTTATGAAATATTGAAGTAAGATTTTTCAAAGTATGTTGACATATAGCTTAAGTTCAATCAATGAACTAAATTTCAAGAGTAAGTTCAATTAAGATTTTCGGGTCATGTGACAACATAAGAACCAGATCAAAAAAAAATTCTGAAGTGAAAGGAAATATCAAAGCTATATGAGCATGATTTTATAAAGAATTCTCAGAAAAAATACAAAAGTAAGCAAAATATTAAAAGTTTCATGAGTAATAATTGAGAAACGAAGTGAGCATATGTAAAATGCAAAATAGCGAAACGAAAATCACAAGATATTTTAATAAATCATGATACATGAGAGTAATGCCGCAAGCAAAAGTTGTATGCAAAAGTCTACGATATATGCAGGTGAAAAATTGGAGTTATAAAAAAACAATCTAGTGAACAAGAAATAGAAATAAATATGATAGGTAAGAATTCGAATTTTGATTTAAAGCAAAAATATGAGAGAAAGACAACTTTCTAGGGTCACCATAGGTGCATTCCAAAGCCCTAGACAAGAATGTCTATAGTCTATGGAATATTCTCATGTAGATCACTGATATCATCAGCGCACTTCAAAGTCTACACTGAGAATAACCATATCATTGTAAAATGAAAGTTAAGTTCAAATATGAAACATTACAAGATTGGAGAAACTATAATAATTTACCAGTGTAAAGTATGAAAAGACAATTACTATACTGAATCTATAAGAATTGGCGATTACTTCAAGTCAAGACAGAAATTGAAAGAAATAAGAAGTCGAAAAAAAAATTATGAGAGCAGACTATCAAAACAAATGCAATAATGCAAAAGCAAAATCACCAGATATTTCAAAATCTATAGCGAAACATGAAAGCAATGTCGCAACCAAGCTCAAGACTTAGCAATACGCACAAATGTGCACAAAGGCTGAAAGCATATATGAAAAATCTCAAGAAGGAATTGACAATTACTTCAAATCAAATTGAACTGATTGAATTGAACTGAGACATAAATTACAATATCAAAAGTGAGTTTTACTTATACGCCAGAGGATTCAAGAGTTTATCAATACGCACAGATTTGCAACTAGGCGGAAAGCATATATGACAAGTCTCAAGAAGAAAATAAAATGCATATGAAGAAAACACTTTCAATTAAAGAAACTGTGGATAGTACAAGACCCTCAAAGGCATACATCGCAACGAATCTATCTAACTATCCAGACTACAAAATACTGTCAAAGTTCAAAACCACTCAAAAATATCTAAACAAACATCAAAAGTTTGAACCAAAAATCAATGTAAGTCTGTGCTCTCGAAGAAAGTTATAATGAATTCAAAAAGAGGATACTATCAAAAACTTCAAAAGTAATAGACTTCAAAAATAGAGGTACGTAAGTATGTAAAAGAAATTCAGAAAATATACGCATAAAAACATTATAAAATATTATACACAGTAT